TTTGCACAGAGCTATAGTAGTAATTGCGGATATACTTGGTACTTCGAGAAGATATGGCCGGCGAGGAGTTGCTGAAATGGTGTTCAAGATAAGGGGCTGCGCTTCGGTCCACGTCGAGTGCATAAGGTTTGCGTCACCAGCCCAGCCACAGCCGAGCAGCCACAGCCACGCGTCCACAACAGGTGCAGGAACCTCTCAGAGCACTGCAAAACGTCGCGTCATGCTCAAAGTATCCCCTGTTTGCTCTCCACACACACCCGAGGTATTTTTAGATTCCACGATATATATCATATGTATCAAGGTTGCTCTGCGCGGCCTCGGCAAAACCTATCGCGATGCGTTCAAGTACCTTAACTCGGCCTATTGTAAACCGGATCTGCAGGATCTGCCTCCGCATACGCATTGACTGAATTTCTCTTCAGTCATACCAAGAAACCCGCACGCGCTTTACGAGGAGCGCGTCGCGATGCCAGACACCAAACTCACGCGCTTCTCACCATCCCAAAATTCCAACAGCTTCCGATATCGGCCGCTGGACCCCTCAGAGGGTGAAGATATTCGCCTCTTGTGTCTCTACCCTGGCGAATTCCGCGAACCTATCCGATGCGACCTTCTCCACGCGAACCTGGACGATGACATCGAATACGAGGCTCTCTCGTATACCTGGGCCTCCGAAGATGGGGACGCTAGCTTATCGCAGCGCATCAGCTGCGCTTACTTTGGAGAGGAACAAGTCTCTGATCTGCCAGTAACATCAAGCTGTGCGTCTGCATTGCGCAGGCTGAGGTTGATTTCACAAGAAAGAATGTTGTGGGTCGATGCACTCGCTATCGATCAGAGTAATCTGCAAGAGAGGAACCAACAGGTTGCGATTATGGCAAGGATCTACTCGGGCGCGTCACAGGTTTTGGTCTACCTAGGAGAAGAAGATTTAGGATTCGGCTCGCGCACTCTGTGGATGGACACCGAGAGACGTCAGACCGCGCTGAAGAAACTTTTCGCAAAGAGATGGGCCTCACGAGTGTGGGTGATTCAAGAAGTAGCACTGGCGCAAAAGTTGACGATGGTCACGGGAAATGCATCTTGTCCTATGGATGCCAATCTGATGAGCCGTATCCGAGGTAGAGCCAAAATATCCAGACTGCAAGTCCCTGGACCATTAGCTTGGGATCCGCTAGTCAGTGCTCCGACGAGGGATCTACTCACGATGTTACAAATGACACTCAACTGCTCGTCTACAGATCCTAGGGACAAGGTGTATGGTCTTTTGGGCTTGGTTGGCGAGCGCCTGCAGAACCTCATTGAGATCGATTACTCACAAACCGTGGAGGAGGTAATGACACGTGCGGCCGCCGCGATCATCATCTGCAGAGAAGACTTTGAGATCTTAGCATACGCGTCACTCCGAGCTAGACCCGCGCAAAAGCGCTTGCCGACTTGGGTACCGGACTGGGCAGAATACGATGGCGAAATTACGCTACGTCCTCAATTCCAAACATCAAAGATAGGTCCCTGGACATCTCTAGAGAAGTTGATGGGTAGCAGGTCATCGGATCGTCGGCTCAGCGAGATAGATTGGGGAGCAGTGGTCGATATACCTGCAAGCTGGCCAGCTAATCTCTCTTCGAAGCCGTCCGTGGAAGTTCGTGGACACTGCCTTGCGACTATCGACAGCACAACCAAGCAAGAGCATGGGAGTTCGCAATGGCAAGATGCCCAGGATTTTGGCGACAGCTTGGGGGCTCTAATCGAAGATCATTCGACGCCTAAGGATTTTGATATGCGATTATGGCCTACACGATTCCAATGGCTCTTCAATCCCTCTTACATGCGCCTTGATGACTCGCAACTGCAGCCAGACAGCACCTCGGCTATGAAGAGTTTTTCAAATCTCCATTGGGCCGGCCTGCAACAGTTTTGCACTGAGCTTCAAACACTGGGGAGGAACAAATACATCTTTCGAGCTGAATATCTACCTGCGATAACGAACCATGACTTCGATGTAGGCGATACTGTATGGGCAATCGATGGCTGTACAGTTCCACTGATACTCAGACCTGATAATTCTGTAAGACAGGGCGATGCCGGTCGCCGAAGCTATACGATCGTTGGAGACTGCTACCTGTTTGCGTTATCACATATGGATTGTTGGATGACATCAGGAACGGGACTTGATCAACGATGGGACTTCAATCCGTTCCGCCATATGGATGCCTTAGGAACACAAAATATCTATCTACATTGATGCGCACAGTCCTTTATCCATCAGAGAGCCCAGTCTCAGCCTGGCGGGACTGCGGCGACCACCGATTGGTCAAACACAGCCCCACGATGCATGCATGCACTATGCCACCTCCAAAGATGCACACTCGGCCTGCTGAATCCGTCCCCCACTCGGACCGCTCAAAAGGTGACCGAGCAGCTCCCAGCCTTTCCTGTCATATACACGACACATGCTCAACAGTGATATATCAAAATGTCTGGAACGGCCTGCAAACATCCGGATATACGAAAATTTGATGGGATAAGATGCTGCCTTGCTTGTGGCGAGGCTGTGCTCGAAACCTTAGCCTCGAATGCGATCGAAAAGAATGTAGATGCCACGGGGCGCCACGTTTACACGCACCTCAACTACCAGCTTGGTCAAGAGGTTCGACTGATACTGCTCGCTCCAGGCGGGGCAGCTGATCCACTCTGCTGCGAGATAGTACATGTTAATCTGGAAGATGACCCTGAGTACGACGCTGTATCCTATACGTGGGCGACAGAGGATGGCAATGCAGATGTGTCAAAGACTATCGATTGTTTCAAGGGCGGATATATACCAATTACTACAAACTGCGATGCTGTCCTTCGACAACTCAGACGACCTGGAACACGTCGTAGGCTGTGGATCGACGCAATATGTACGTTGATAGTCTGTGGTATCTTAAAGCCTTGCGCTAACAACGATATTACCACCCAGGTATTGATCAATCCCATGTTAGCGAACGTAACCATCAGGTCGGAATCATGGACTTCATCTACTCCAGAGCTCGCAAAGTTTGCATATGCATCCCAAACCCCTCACTGCCGGTCTACTGGACTGAGCATGGCCGTTTGCTTCGTTGGCCTGATTATGGTCGTTTGATACGTTGGCTACGGACAGGGTTACCTGACACTCCAGAAGACGTCAAAGAAACCCTCTTTACGGACATGCAGCAGCTGTTCTCCACACGGTACTTTTCTCGTGTGTGGGTCATTCAAGAAGTAGCTTTGGCTCGAGTTGCTTATCTCATTGTAAACGACGAGGAACTCCTATTGACGTCCACCGTCCTGGATCGCCTAAGCCTTCTGTGTGCAGAGAGCCGTCATTGCAAACTGCCCGGTGTCTTTGAGAGACTGCTTGTACAAGATACCAGGCCCGAGGTTCTCTCGTGTCTCTACACTGGTTGGTAGTGCCTTGCTACTGATCGCCGCGACTGTGTGTTTGCAGTTTTGAGCTTGATGCCACCCGAAATAAGATCGCTTATACCCGTGGATTATTCAATGAGTCTCAAAGCAGTCATCGCAAACGCAGTAGTTGCAATCATCGCAACTCAGCGGAATCTCGACATCCTATCGCTTGTCAAATCTCCGTTAGTAGAATCGTTCACGTCTGGAGTAACAGACCTCGAAGGTTTCGGAATATACCTGGCGTGGTCGGTGAATGGCAGAAATTCGTCACACTATCGTCTTCTACCTGTGTTTGAAGGACAACAAATAGGACCATGGCAAGCGGATATAGATCTCGAGATACTGCCACCCTCGAGCACTTTGCATCTGGACCAACATCAAGGTACATCATGTGTTGTCATTAGACCAACACACCTGCCAAAGTCGATACTACCGCATCTTCTTGTGCGGGCACATTACATCGATCGGGTGATCCAATCAAACGTTAAGGTAGATTTCAAAGGCGTGTCTCAGGGCGCACACCAAAACCTCCTGCTTTTGAAGCGACACCAGTATGAGCAAATTGTCCAGTTCTTCCGCGCAGACGTAATGATGGGCGACCAATCATTACACAGTGGTCAAGAACCATACGACAAATCTGTCTCAATACAAGACGACAAGAGCATTGTGCTTGCAGACCTATTAAAGTTCATCGAGATATACAAAGACGCAGGCCAAGAACGACCATTGTACCTAAGTCAGTATAGTGTTCTTTTTGCTTCATTCGACTACCATGGTTCGTTTCTTGTTATGCCAGGCGATGAAATATTCGCTATCGACGGTGCGCAGGTACCATTTGTTCTACGCAAGACCATCACAGAACAATACATATTGATATCCCCGTGTTATCTGTGGGCTGCGCTGGAGCTCGACTGTTGGAATCCAGGAACTAAGAAGGGTCGATGGGGGCCAGATGTTGAGAGACCCATGGAAAAGCAGACGCGAATGATTGAGATATTCTGATCCGACTCTACATGGACCTACTGAGTTGAGCTTAATGCTCTCTTTTACTTGCAGACAACTTCAGATTGGGAGTTGAAGAGAATGCTGAAGTAAGGGAACGGGACAAACCGGATGTGATTGTAACTTAGCCGTGTTCTCAATAATGCTAATATTTGATGGGCTGCTGTTCTTTTCGCAACTTCAGCATCGTTACAAGGCTGGAGATATGGTGATACATCACAGATCTAGAGTGCACAAAGTTGGGAAGTCTGATGGTATCCGCTATCACGTTCATGCCGGGATCTGAGAGTTTAGATCGAGGCGACAATCCACTCCACTAGCCCTAATAGTTAGCATTATAGCGACCTGTTTGGTCTGGCACCATCGATTTCCAGTTTCATGTATGCCATTTGTGGTCTCTGCCTGGGCAGATGCGACGCGTAAGTTGTCAGGTTAGCGTATGCAAATGACGTATACATGATGTTCAACTACCATGTATACTCTACACCCCAGACTTCCCCCTCTCGCCCTGAAGATCATCTACTTGCTGAGATAAATGTATCCTATATTTTAACTAATCGATCATGTCGCATCAAGAGAACACCAAGAACGTACCTGAGGAACATCGCGTTCACAGGACGGGCTCCTGGCTTCCAGCAGACCACCGCGTCCACAAGAAATGGCTATCAGGCATCATCGAGCGGGTAGAAGGCAATCCTAAAGAGTTGCATCCTGTATTGCGAGAGTTCAAGGATCTGATCGAGAACAACACACGTATCTACATACTGGTAAACTCCATGTTTGAAGAGATACCTACGAAGAAGCCGTACAAGAACGATCCTGTGGGCCATAAGCAGGTCAGGGATTACCATCACATGTTGGAGCTGTTCAACCACATTCTTACAACAGCACCGGAATGGAGTGACCATGAGTATTCTATCGGGATGGTGGGAACCCCTTTCAATGCCATCTTGGACTGGCCAATGGTGAGTATATCTGCTCGAGCTGCATTCAGAATGCATGCTAATCGTATCGCACAGGGTACACCTTCGGGCTTCGCCTTCTTTCTGGACCCCGAAGTCAACAAGATGATCAAAAAGGTCCTCAATGCATGGGCAGAGTTTCTCGACTCGCCAGCATCAGCATATGTACTCGGTACCGATAAGATCGGCTGGCTCAGCGAACACGGCACTCACGATCTCGCATTGACAGCCAATATTGGCCAAACGTCTCACTCTTTTGAAGAGATGTTTCAATGCGACCCATCCAAGGAACACCATGGTTACAAGTCATGGGACGACTTCTTCACCCGCCACTTTTACGAAGATAAGCGACCTGTTGCCAGCCCTGAAGACGATAGCGTCATTGCCAACGCATGCGAGTCGAAACCGTACAAGGTTGGACGCAACGTCTCCAAGCGTGACCGCTTCTGGCTGAAGGGTCAACCTTACTCACTCATGGACATGCTCGCCATGGATCCGCTGCACGAGCAGTTCATTGGCGGTACCATCTACCAGGCCTTTCTATCTGCAATGAGCTACCACCGCTGGCACGCGCCCGTCAGCGGCAAAGTCGTAAAGTCATACCTCATTGAAGGCACATACTTCTCGGAACCACTTTTCGAAGGTCTCGGTGATCCCTCAGCCAAGGGTGGCATCGATGAAGAAGGCGAGAAGACCGGCCAAGGTTACCTCACTGCAACTGCCACACGCGCCATCATCTTCTTCGAGGCAGATAACAAGGATCTTGGCCTAGTCTGCTTCATGGGTATCGGCATGACTGAGGTTTCAACATGCGATACCACTGTCAAAGTGGGACAACACGTCAAGAAGGGTGATGAGATAGGTATGTTCCATTTTGGTGGAAGCTCGCATTGTATACTATTCAGGAAGGGTGTGGAGTTGGAAGGCTTTCCGGATACACAGAATGTGGAGCACAATATGCCTGTGAGGGCGAAGCTGGCGACTGTGAAGGCTACGTGAGAAGCCTAATTGAAAGGCAGCAGCGGATCAGCTCAAAATGCTGATCGGCCCTTAACGTTCTTATACAACCTATCCGTACCGAAATTTAATTCTTCCAAAAACGATAGCAAAGAGTGTCAACTCGTCAGATGTGTCAAGTGCTTAGCCTCCAGTGCTGAATTGAGAGGAGCCGTTCCAATCGGGGAGTACGTCATACGGTGAGCGCCAACTAAGATATCTAGAATGCAGCATAATGATGAATGACTATGCAGTCCGAAGAGGACCAAGTCCAAATTCGAGTATCTGTGATGCAAGAGATGTGCTTGCTCCAGGATGCGGGAGGCTGAGGCTCTTCGGCGGATGTTTGGACCTAGCGTAAGGCGGTGGCCAAAGCGCCCCAGCTCCGAGCGTGGATCTCTACATCACTGACGAGCCGCAACACCACCAAACAACGTCGCCGCCCCATCCCACACTTTCCTCTCTCACATTCGACACTTCCATCTGCAGTCTCTGCTTTACTTGGGAGCAAGTGAACACCCCGATATCCAATAAATATACACGAAGACCCCGCCACCATGTCTAGCGGAGAAGTGCTCAAGGCCGACAAGGACTTTACCAAGGAAGTCGATGCGGCTATTCCAGAGGCGGAGAAGCTAGCTTCTGTATGTTCACTGGCTCTCAAAAGCGAAGCAAAGCTAACGTAGTTGATCAGAGCAACCCGCAAGCTGGCATCGATAAGCTGCTCACGCTCGAGAAGCAGACCCGCCAGGTACACAACTCGCAACCTTGTGCGCATGGGCATATATTGACCTTCTCCAGGCCTCAGATCTCGCCTCCACTTCCCGAATCATAATCGCCATCGTCACAATAGCAAAGAATGCGAAGGACTGGAACTTGATGAATGAGCAGGTCCTGCTCCTCTCCAAGAAGCATGGACAGCTCAAGCAAGCCACCACCAAGATGGTACAGACAGTCATGGGGTTCCTAGATGAGACACCCAACCTCGAGACAAAGCTATCAGTCATCGAGACACTACGGACAGTTACTGAGGGCAAGGTAGGCGGCACCAACGGATGGGACACGTGCTGTTGCTGACACAGTAACAGATCTTTGTCGAAGTCGAACGCGCCCGAGTAACCCGCATCCTGTCCAACATCAAGAAGGAGCAAGGCGACATCGACTCAGCGACAGACATTCTGTGCGAGCTGCAAGTCGAGACGTTTGGCTCCATGACCCGCCGCGAGAAGACCGAGTTCATCCTACAACAAGTCGCGCTATGTATACAGAAGGGCGACTGGACACAGGCTGGTATTCTGAGCAGGAAGATCAGCACAAGGTATTTTGCCCGGAGACCGAAGAAGACTCCCGAGCAGCTTGAGAAGGACCAGAAGGAGCGGGAGGAGAAGGAGAAGAACCGAAGCCCCGAGGACCCGCCCATTGAGCCAGAGGACGATGTAACAGATTTGAAGCTCCAGTACTACGAGCAGCAAATCACCTTGGCGAAGCACGACAACAAGTACCTGGACGTTTGCAAGCACTACCGACAAGTATTGGACACCGAGGCTGTGGAGGAGGATCCTAACAAGCTCCGAGCGGTAGGTTTAACATCTGAATATTTCTTTAAACTATTACTAACGTAAGTGTAGATCCTTCAGCGCGTCATCTACTTTATCATCCTCTCGCCGTACGATAACGAGCAGTCCGACCTCATTCACCGTATCCAGCGCGACTCTCGCAACTCTCAGATCCCACAAGACGCACAATTAGTTAAGCTCTTCACTGTGCCCGAGCTTATGAGGTGGCCAATGGTAGCTAAGCAGTTCGGACCTCACCTTACAGAGACGGACGTATTCGACGCGGAGAAGGACGACTCGCACGACCCCAAGGCATTCCAGAGATGGCAAGATCTCCGAAAGCGTGTTATTGAGCACAACGTTCGCGTTGTCGCCAAGTACTACACGCGCATCCAGATCCCGCGTTTGACAGAGCTGTTGGATCTCACCGAAGATGAGACAGAGAAGAACATTAGCGAGCTAGTGTCTGCGAAGACCATCTACGCCAAGATTGACCGACCTGCCCGGATCGTCACGTTTTCGAAGCCTAGGGATGCCGATGATGTGCTGAACGAGTGGAGCGGAAACATGAAGAGCTTGCTGGGTCTTCTCGAGCGTGTTGATCATCTCATCACCAAAGAGGAAATGATGGCGCGCATCCAGCCTACCAAGGTGGACAAGAGCAAGGCGATCAAGGGCAAGGCGAAATAGGAGTCGCGAAGATCCTCAGGTCTCCTCAAGACATGCGTGCAAGACGGATTGCATTTGGTTGTGTAATGGCCTTGTGAACTATAACGCTGATGATGATGCATGGAAGTGGGTATGATAGTCTACGAATGGGCGCGTTTGCAAGCAGACCCTGAAGGTCGAGCTTGTACCGATGCGCTGCCTGTGTTGGACATTTCGCATGGCTGACCTCGACACGCTACGAAAGATAGAGTACCTGTGCATTTGCCATAGGATAACAAAATAAATCAAAGCAATAGCTATAACGAAGACACTCCGATTGAAGTGCTGTGTTACTATCACTAATGTGACCGCTTTTGTCCATGGTACATGTAGCAGCTAAATGAAGCGCCCGCGCGTTGCATCATTCGCCAAGACACTTAAGTACGGACGCGGACTAGCGCAACGCGTCCGACGCGTCCCTTCCTTCCCTATAGTATGGCAGTTACAGCCGTTGATAGTTCCAAACTCTCATTACCTTCACTCCACACACTGTAACACCACGATAACCATGGCTCGCGGCGTCGAAGGAAATGAGATGTCAACGCCTCGCGCTTCACAAAAGAAGCAGCCCGCCTCCGCGTCGCAATCGGCAAAGGGCCAAAAGTCCATCTTGGGTTTCTTCCAAAAGAAGTCTACCAACTCACCAAGCCCCGCGCCATCCGATGCCACACCAGTCAACAAGACTCCAACATCAAAATTGGCCAAGAAGGCGTTCAATGATCCGCCCGCAGCCATCACACCTGTGCCGAGCAGCGATGCCCCCGACTACTCGAGTCCCATCAAACAAGAACATGAGTTGACAATAGGAAGGGGTAGGAACAAGGAGAATGGTGTGTTATTACATGTCCTGAAATCGGATTCCACAACTGACAGCGTATTACCAGAGCCCGCAGATGTTACTCCCAGTAGCCCAACACGCAAGGTACGTGCAACGTGCCATTGTGCATTTTGACCGCTCTCGTTAACGTTTTCATTCAGGCACGAAAGCCGGTCAACTATGCCGAATCCGATGACGAAGAAGAGGACGTATTGGGTCCAATTGCGAACAATGCTAGAGGCAGAGCGACGAAGCGCCAGCGGGTCGTTGTCGACGACGATTCAGACGACGAATTCGGATTAGACGCGGCCACACAGAAGGCTATGCTTGAGGAAGAAGACGAGGACGATATGGAAGACTTCGTCGTTGCAGACGATTCTGACGAGGAGGTTGTATCGAAGAAACGCAAACGTTCAGCAGCGCCCAAGAGTCGTGTCAGGACAGCTCCCGCATCATCTCCGCCTATAATCGAGGCAAAGGATGATGAAGACGATGGAGGTGTTGTAATGACTAGCACGTCGACTGCACAACAATGGATCTACGATCCCGAGAATCCAATGGTCTTCAAGCCCCGCACGTCCATACAAGCGACCAAGAAGGACCCCAGTAAGAAGATAAAAGAGCGACCGAGCGCATCAGAACCTGAGACGAGATATCCATGGCTCGCGCACCAAATGGACGCTGATCGGCATCCGGTCGATCACCCAGACTACGACCCCCGTACACTTTATATCCCTCCGGGTGCTTGGGGCAAGTTCTCAGCTTTCGAGACGCAGTATTGGGAGATCAAGAGCAAGTGGTGGGATACCGTTGTCTTCTTCAAGAAAGGCAAATTTTACGAGCTGTACGAGAAGGACGCCTCGATTGGCCACCAGCTCTTCGACCTCAAGCTGACCGATCGGGTCAACATGAGGATGGTGGGTGTACCAGAAGCTTCGCTGGACATGTGGGCAACACAGTTTGTAGCGGCAGGACACAAAGTTGCCAGAGTCGACCAGATGGAGTCGGCTTTGGGCAAAGAGATGCGGGAACGCGACGACAAGGGCAAAACTCCGAAGAAAGCTGGCAAAGAAAACAAAGTGATTCGAAGAGAGCTCGCTACAGTACTCACATCCGGTACACTTGTGGACACAGGCATGCTTCAGAGCGAAATGTCCACATACTGTATGGCCATCAAGGAGATCGACCGTAATAACCTCCCAGCGTTCGGAATAGCGTTCGTCGACACTGCTACTGCTCAATTCCAACTCTGCGAGTTCACCGACGATGTCGATATGACAAAGTTCGAAACCCTCATTGCGCAGATGAGACCTGGCGAGTTACTCCTGGAAAAGTCTTGTATATCTGCGAAAGTTCTACGAATACTCAAGAATAATACTCCACCCACAACAATCTGGAACTACCTGAAGCCTAACAAGGAGTTTTGGCCAGCGGATATCACCATTCGCGAATTGGAAGCGAACAACTATTTTGAGTCACCTACAGAAGACAATATCGAGGCTTGGCCGCCAGTTCTCCGCGAAGCTCGAGAGCAAGAACTGGTCATGTCATCATTCGGTGCTCTTCTACAATACCTGCGGTCCTTGATGATCGAGCGCGATCTTGTCACACTTGGAAACTTCCAATGGTACGACCCCATACGGAAGGCTACCAGTCTGGTTCTTGATGGTCAAAGCTTGATCAATCTGGAGATATTCGCCAACACATTCGACGGATCAACTGAAGGCACTTTGTTCGCCATGCTCAATCGCTGCATTACTCCGTTCGGCAAGCGATTACTCAGGCAATGGGTATGCCACCCTCTTGCAGATGCGACCAAGATCAATGCACGTTTGGACGCCGTGGATGCGCTGAACGCCGACTCTACCATCATGGAAAATTTCAGCGCGTCTCTCAGTAAATTGCCAGATCTTGAACGTCTCATCTCTCGCGTACATGCGGGCCGATGTAGGGCGCAAGACTTTCTCAAAGTATTGGAAGGCTTTGAGCAGATCGAGTATACTATTAGCTTGTTGAAGCAATTCGGCGAAGGCGAGGGTCTTATCGGACAACTCATCTCCTCCATGCCTGATTTGGCTGCATCACTGGCAAAATGGAACTCAGCCTTTGATCGAGACATCGCCCGGAAAGAAGGACTTCTCATTCCCGAGCCTGGCATCGAAGAGGACTTTGATAACAGCCAACAGGAGATCGACACTTGCAAAGCTAACTTGGATGTACTGCTGAAGAAGGTTCGAAAAGAGCTCAACTCAAACGCTGTCCAATACAACGACATCGGCAAGGAGATCTACCAGCTGGAGGTGCCCAAGAAGGTCAAAGTTCCCAACAGCTGGGACCAAATGTCAGCTACTGCCAAGGTCACTCGATACTACACACCTGAGCTTCGAAAGCTAGTACGAGCACTACAAGAAGCACAGGAGACGCATGGCCAGATCACCCGTGAAGTTGCTACTCGCTTTTGCCAACGCTTCGACGAGGACTACAAAGTCTGGCTCGCGGCCGTCAAGATCATTGCTCAGCTAGATTGCTTGATCAGTCTTGCGAAAGCATCTGCGTCACTCGGAGAGCCTAGCTGCCGTCCTGTTTTCGAAGATGGCAATCGTACTGTTGTTGAGTTTGAAGAACTCCGCCACCCGTGCATGCTCAATACAGTCGACGACTTCATCCCCAACGATATCAGGCTAGGCGGCGACTCTGCCAACATCAGTCTGCTCACTGGTGCAAACGCAGCGGGTAAATCTACCATCCTTCGCATGACTTGTATCGCGGTCATCCTCGCACAAGTGGGATGTTACCTACCTTGTACATCGGCCAGACTCACACCAGTCGATCGCATCATGTCCCGTCTCGGCGCCAACGACAACATCTTTGCTGCCCAGTCTACCTTCTTTGTTGAGCTCTCTGAAACACAGAAGATCCTTTCGGAAGCTACACCTCGCTCTCTTGTCATCCTCGACGAGCTCGGTCGTGGAACATCTTCTTACGATGGTGTTGCGGTTGCCCAAGCTGTTTTGCACGATATCAGTTCACGTGTAGGCTGCGTCGGTTTCTTCGCCACCCACTACCGATCTTTGGCCAAGGAATTCGAGTTCCACCCTGAAGTCGAGAACAAGCGTATGCGTATCCACGTCGACGATGCGTCCAAGTCCATCACCTTCCTCTACAAACTGGAACAAGGTGTAGCTGAAGGTAGCTTTGGTATGCATTGTGCGGCCATGTGCGGTATCCCGAACAAAGTCATTGAGAATGCGGAGAAGGCGGCTAGGGAGTGGGAGCACACTAGTAGGCTGGGAGAGAGGATGGAGGTCAACAAGGATGAGGGTGGTGTTTATGTGCCCCTGGGTCTGCAGAGCGACGTTGCTTGGACGCTGAGGGAGGGCTTGGAGGGAGTCGGTGATCGGGCGTTGGATGTGTTGCTCGAGGCCATCTCCGCGCTATAAGTGTGTATGGTGTCGTCCAGGGAAGTGTGTAAGATATGGTGAAAGGCGTAGAGCGGTCGAGCTGGCAAGGCTTGTGGGATATATTCATATGGAACGGGGTACCAAATTTCGGTCGATTTAGCGTTCGCGCTGTAATTATGTACTGTCAGTTAGCGTATCGCATGTCAATCAACCTTGTAAGAATGATATAGGAGCCTGATGATCTTCATGCTGTTTCGCACTGTCAACTATCACGGAGAAGCCTGTGAATTACTCGAGGGCTACACATGTCAGAGTGAAATCGAAGCAAGTTATTCATGATGTAGTAGTAGTTATGCCGCACTATACGCAGGAGCGTGTACGAGGCAAATGCTACTTGTAGTCGCTAGAGCCTTAGAATGCTCTACCAGATGTCGTACCCATGCCGCTAAACGCCCAACTGGAACCCATCTAAAGCACTACACGAGCTTTTCCGCTTCCTCCTCCGCCCACCCTCTAGTCTCCAATCTCCCCCATCCTGCTCCACATCTTAGGCGACCGACTTCCTGTATCCAGTAGCTGCACTCCTGCCTCCACCAACACCACCACCGAATGTCTCAATGCCCTCGAGGAAACCGTAGCTTGCGCCACCACTACCGTTATCAAGGAAACCAGAACCTTGCTCGAAGCTCGGTTCCTCCTTCTTGACCTTGACCTTCTTGTCGCCCAGATCACCAAAGTCTTCGTCATCGTCGCCGTCGTCATCGGCTGCCGAAACGTCCTCGGAGGGCGATGAAGTTGGCTGACAGGCGCCCTTCCGGGCACGCTTGGCGGGTGTACTGGAAGAGGCAGGGGGACCACGCTTCTTAGGGGTAGAAGTTGGAGTAGACGTAGCCTTGCTGCGACCCGGACCTCCGGCTTTCTTGGGGGTGGTGGGACTGTCTGTAGAGAGGGACTCGCCGAGGAGCTTGATCTTGGTCTTAATCTTGCCTAACGTGACGCCGGCGGAGCCAACAGTGTAACCGGTCAGGGAAGCCAATTTGTGCATGTCGATCTAGGAATAGACTTGTTAGTATGAGAGATAGAAGGAAGACGATGAAGTGACAAAGAGTGTGTTGAGAGTGTTGGGAGTTGACATGATGAGGATTGGGAGAGTTAGCGGTGGTACTGGAGAGTATATACCTTGGGCTGCGTCTCCATACACTGCCAGGCGAGGGCGAGAACCTCCATCTCACGAGGTGAGAAGCTGACCTCTTTATTACCCGCCATGTTGATCTTGTTGTTTGGGTGTAGATATGATGTATGTTAAGTGTTTGGAAGTGCGGTGGGGCAAAAGCTATCGCGAGAGTAATGGAAGAGCGATGGAAGAAAAGACTGGAAGAGGCGGGGATACGTTGTTTATATGCTTTCCTACAGAAGTAGAAAGACCCTTAAAATCAGCGGTGAAGATGGCAGTTTGGTGAGATTTGAGCGCGTGGTGAGAGTGGCTAGGCAACCTAAAAGAGGAGAGAAAAGACGCCTTCACCTTGTCTTTAAAGCTCTAATAGGACACTGTAGGACAGCATAGCGCGCAAGTGAGTCTGGCTTGAAGATTTGTGCAATTCGTATAGTATATTCTTGAGGGCAATTGGAGACGCCAGCACACCACCGTGCTAAATCCTGCGCACTTCCTTACCCTGTAACTCGGGTCTTTCCACATCCAGCTCGTCCCTCAGTGCCGCATATAGCGAGTCTCCCAAGATGATGGATAATCCTAAACTCCAGACGAGTGTAATAGCGTAGAAGAAATTGGCGTTACCCGATCCAGCATAGATCCACAGGTGGTAGAAGGCGGGGCCCAAGAATGACGTATATAGGATGCTCGCTGATGCCAAAAAGGTATAACGCATGACTGTGACATAGTTAGTTTTGTCGCAGTCTCACGGGAAAGGCAAATACTCACGAGGAAACAGATGGCGGAACATGGGCACCAAAGAAAGGTAGAGCGCACCATCCGCTATGCTCGGGTATGGAGTGAAGATGGCAAAAACGCCGGTCAAGCAGCATGCCACGAACAATGGCTGCTTGTGAAGTCGGATCGTCAGGCCAGGCATATACGACGCCGCGTGGAGCCAGAAGACGCCAAGGAAGAATTCGCGGAAGGAATCGAACATCTCAATGAAGAAATACCACCAGAGTCCCACGTTGGGTGTGAGGTCCGGCAGGAGAAGACGCACACCGTATGTCGCCGACAGGAAGTCCCATGAATCCATTAACAATGCGGAGCCTGTGAGCAGGGCGCCTATTGCGCCTGCAAAGCCAACAGTATGGGTTGTGATGAAGGATGTGACATTTGGCGCAGTCTTGGACTTTAGTGTCTTTGCATCATAAAGGAGGACCATCAGCGGAGGGAAGAGGAGTATCGGGTGCATAGAGAAGTACGAAGCGAAAGCCGTGGATAGAATGAAGGTGAAGCTGGCGCCTTGAGAGGCCTTGGCCATGGCCGTAAGGATGAAGAGGTTCGTCAGGGCCGAGGTAGAGCGTGCGATGCATGTCAGGACGGTAAAGGGGTTGAAGAGGAAGCTTCGAGGTGTTAGCATATGTTCTGTAGAGGAGTGTAGTAGTCGTACCCTGCTGCGACAGCCGTACTGCTCCATTTCAAGTCCTTCCGCGGCGAGGCGAACAGTCGCGTGACAGATGCGAAGCCGCTCTCTGCCACCTGAGCCAGTGCATTCGCGCTCAGTAGGTCGACGATAGTATAGAAGATGTTGGTGGCCAGAGGGGCCTGTGCCGGGCTCGGGAAGAGGGAGAAGAGAGGCAGCAGGAGGGGTGCCTGGTGGTATACGCCGCCATCGTAGGGAGAGACATTATGGGTGTAGAGGAAGACGCCCTCTTGCACTATCACGTGTCAGTGATAGTATGCACACTCCATGTCGGATACATACATCTCTTGAAGCTCGTCACTGGTGTTGACACCTCGACACGTCCGGCGAGGAGGTCTGGTAGTGCGGGAAAGACAGTGAAGAGGAGCAAGCGCACAGCTGCGGCGGCTCCGAAGAGCAGCAGCTTCTGCTGCGTGTTGTTCTGCTGCTTGACGGCCATGGTAACTCTCTCCTACGCAATCATTGGCTCCATGGCGGGTCTTCACCTCGGCGCTGGTGTTCTGGCAAGATGCATGTTGGTGGACCCTGGTCGCGCGCTAATGCCGGGTCCATGTCCGCTAGTTGGCCGCATCTCGAACTTTTTTGCGCCCGCCAAAAGTTCGACCATCTGCATCGACAGAATCGCGATTCTATACAGACAACACAATGGCCGGTCGCTCAAAAAAGAAGGGTATGCACGCCTACAACTGATCGAGACGTCTTTTTCGCTAACCAATCCATAGGCACCTCTGGTGCGGCCAAGAACTACATCACTCGTACGCGCGCCGTGAAGAAGCTTCAGATCTCGCTCCCGGACTTCAGACGACTATGTATCTTCAAGGGAATCTACCCCCGTGAGCCGCGCAATAAGAAGAAGGTCTCGCGAGGCTCTACCGCTGCCACCACCTTCTACTACACCAAGGACATCCAGTATCTCCTCCACGAGCCGCTGCTGGCAAAGTTCCGCGAGCACAAGGCTGTCGCAAAGAAGATTGGTCGCGCCCTCGGTCGCGGCGAGTCGGGAGATGCATCGCGCCTCGAGAAGAACCTCATGCCCAAGGTCAAGCTCGACCACATCATCAAGGAGCGCTACCCTACCTTTGTCGACGCCCTGCGTGACCTCGACGATGCTCTCTCTATGCTCTTCCTCTTCGCCAACCTCCCCTCGAGCGACCACGTCCCTGCGAAGACCATTGCCCTTTGCCAGCGATTGACCCGCGAGTTCGAGCACTACGTAATCACCTCCCACGCCCTCCGCAAGTCCTTCCTCTCTATCAAGGGTATCTACTACCAGGCGACAATCCAAGGTCAGGACATCCTTTGGCTCGTACCATACAGGTTCGTCCAGCGAACCGGTGGCGACATCGATTTCAGGATCATGGGCACCTTTGTCGAGTTCTACACCACTCTTCTCGGCTTTGTCAACTACCGCCTCTACACATCAGTCGGCTTGGTATACCCACCCAAGTTCAACGCAAAGAGCGACGAACAAGGTGGTGAGCTCGCTGCATTCCAGCTCGAGGGCAAGGCTACTGCCAACGGCGCGACCAATGGACACGATGAGGATGCCGAGATCAACCCCGAGGCACAGGCGATAGCGGACAGGATTGGAGCTATGTCTGATGTTGATGAGGAGGAGAGCACCACAGCTGTAGCCAAGGTTGCTACTGAGGACGATGAGGAGGAGGCCAACGACGAGATTGACAAGTTCGAGCCGACTGCGCCCGATGCCGACATCCTACCCCAGCCGCAAGCAAGCAGCGCTGAGATTGCTTCCCTCTTCGCGCCCTTCACCTTCTACCTATCGCGAGAGACACCCAGAGCATCGCTCGAGTTTATATTGAAGGCATTTGGCTGCAAGAGAGTTGGTTGGGATGGAACTCTCGGCGACGGTGCTTTCACAACGAACGAGTCGGACCCGAACATCACACACCAGATTGTCGACCGACCCGCTCTATCCAACGGCGCGCCTAACGGAGATGACGAGGATGCTGCTGCTCCCAAGGTTCAATGGCCTTACTCCATGATGCCTGGACGCACCTACGTTCAGCCACAATGGGTTTGGGACAGTATCAACCAGGGCAAGCTATTGCGACCAGACCACTACTCCCCTGGCGCAGACCTGCCGCCGCATCTTAGCCCTTGGGTCAAGCCCAAGAAGGGCGAATACGACCCCAACCTTCCCCTCGCTGCGCAGCAACCAGAGGGTGAGGCCGAGGCGTTTGAAGACGAGGGTGACGAGGACGAGGAAGCCTTCGACGTTGACGGAGATGAGGACATGGATGCCATTGTTGACCGCGAGGGCTCAGTCGAAGTTGGCGAAGGCATGGATGTCGCTGACGACTCGGAAGATGACAGCGAAGAATCTGATGAGGCTGATGAAGGTGAAGAGTTTGACGGCCTCGACTCTGACGCTGAATCAGACATCTCAGAAGGAGAAGCTGCTCGTCTCCAGCATCAGCGTGAACTGGAAGCTGAAGCCCTTGGCAAGAAGCTCGAGGTCAAGAAGCCGACGAGGAAAGAGGAGAACGCCGCCATCCGCAAGAAGGCCGAGAAGAAGAAGCGCGCGGAAGAGGAGGAGCGTGAGAGGCAGAAGATGATGTTGTCCAACAAGAAGCGCAAGCTCCTCAAGCGTATCGAATACGGTGAAGACAAGCGTGCTAATGAATCCGAGAGCCTGCGCAGGAAGCGTGCAAAGGTCGAGAAGGCTAAGGCTGCTGCTGAGGCCATATAGGCCTGAGTGACATGTATACGATGCATCAAAAGCTTGGGCCGGCGTTCATTTGGGCAGGAGTTTTGGGCGCTTAACGATAACTCTATATGTTGCATGTAGTAAAATGCGATACCTATACTGGCTCCAAGTCATGGCCGTAGCTGTCTATACACACATCCTGACCAAGTATGCTGTGATTGGTGATGAGCATACGCACAGACGGGGGCTGTCAGACGGGTGGCGCAGCCATCTTTAACCAGGAGACTCATCAATACTCGATGACTCAAGCAGAGGTATAACAACGACGCTTCTGCACCTACTGTGATCGATGCTCACATTCTAATTGCAGTAATATTTACATACCACCAACATCTTACCCAACAGCATGTAGTCTTACTTTGCTTGCAAACTCTGCACCATAATGGTTGAGCAACACTATTGTCAAAACTCAACCACAGTTGACCGTGGAACGTCCTATCTATTTGGCATACATACCATGGTATAAGCCCATCTTCAAACCTGCGCGTCAGGTCAAACTCAAAATGTATGTCTTGTCCACAGCAGTCTTCTCTGTCTACCCTCCTCAGAAAACGCCATCAAAGGGTCGAACAACGTCCGCGGACCATCCTAGACACAAAGAGCTAAAACGAGAAGATGAACCCATAACGAGAGACCCGCATACATATATTAGTACCCGATCCACCATCGTCGCCGCTACCTAAAAGCGCAAAGTGCCGAGCCGCTGCCGAATAGCACCACTTCGGACGGAAAAATTGTGCTTGTCCAAATTTTTACTTTCTTCCAAGTACCAATAGCAATAGTTTTTGTCAAAGGTATAGAGTTCCTTGAAGCATGGCAGAAGCAAAGCTGACATGGTATGAGCGTTCCTGGTCATTGCTTTCACCTGGGGCAACAGGCTACGCTGTCACGTGATCTCGCGTTCACTCGGACAATTACTATTGTATCTTCAAGCCAATAGGCTCGGCTGTGGTCACCCAACTTCTGCTTGAAGATTGGTCCGTCGGTGGTATCACGACCTATTCCGCGTCTCGCATCTATATCTCACTCTGCCGGACTCGATACCAGCAATTTGAAGTCAGCAACGCGACTATCGGCCCATCCTATCAAGCATTTGGAAATCCACGTATCCGCCTGCAACGCCCCAAGCCTCACCGAAACCGATTAGATATGGCTTCCAGCATGCCCTTGGCAACTCCTCTCTTCCCCAACCTCCCACCTGAACTTCGCAACGAAATCTACTCCTACCTTTCCATTTCCCCTTCTAACTCAATATCTCTAAACTCACACCTCCCCTTGGGACTGAAAACGTTCACCTGCAAACATACCACCATCAACCTTATCCCCACACACCACGGCTCAACCTCCCTGCTCTCACTCCCACGGGCCACTTTCCCCGAAAGTCTAGAATACTCTTCGCATCTCCTCAGCAACGCGATTACCCTTCAAATTGGAGTACATTTCCACGGACGTGTCAACAACTTTGTGCAAGTGGATTGGAACAAGAAAATCTCAACACATCTGAACAAACTGGCCAAATCTTTCCCATGGCTGAAAAAGGTGGCAAAGTACGATATCCAAATACTATGGGAACCAGTTGATGGGGCGCTCAAGAGTAAAAAAGGAAAGAGGGTCGCGGGTCAGATACCGCTTGATATGGTGGTGTGTCTGACGCAGCTCATGGATGCCGAGGTGAAGAGGAAACGGGGGGCTGTGAGCGTGGGTCTATGCATGGAACATTCGTTCGCAATCCAAAATGCGCTTGCTGAGCACAAGTTTGGATTGAACACGTTTCTCTTCAACAACGGCAGCGGGGATCATGAGTTTAAGAAATTTGTGAGGGAAGTAAGGATGACGGCACATGAGTATCATCTGCCAACGCATCCTCACCCAAGGTTTCTTGCCGTTCCTTCCCCCGGGGACTCGAAGGAGAAGGCATTAATCAGGGTGCAAGATGGTGTGGTTAGTTGGAGCGAGTGGACCAAGGGGCTGCTGGTTATGAGCAGGACGCTGGATGCGGAGGCGCCCAGAGGGAGTGTGCTTACGCAAGGGAAGGGCGAGGCGGAATTCCCAATGTGCCATCTCATGGCGGAGTGTGTGATGAGGTAGTGGAGACTACACTGCATCGTTGATGTCTGAACGAAAGATTATTGCTCACTGTGATGGCTACCAGTGGTTGTGCTGTAGTGGCCAGTAGCGATCGACTCTGTTTCTTGTATATATAGTCAGAGGTTCTGAACATACATAATTTCTCTCATCCTGCGACCAATTATTGCAAACACGACCCTATAATGAGTGTAACGATAGTTAAAAGGGTGTATCCGCCTCAGGTCCATCTACATTTTGTTCGTTTCGTCCTCCAGGTTCCTTGTCTTCCCTCTCCTCCATCCGGTATCTCTTTTCCACCTCCATCTTCTACCCCCCTTCTTCCCAACGGGTCTTCATCCGATTTCAATGCTGCCCCTACCATCGCGTCTTCTACATCCACCTCTCTACGCCCAAGCCCCCACCAAACTCATGAGGAAGGCTCCCAAGAACACAAGCAAACACGCATACACCCTGCGCTTTCCCCTGAGCACCTTCCAACTCTCATCGCTCAAGAAATCCTCCGACATGAGTTCCACAAGACTTGCGTAGACGAGGAAACCCGCGGAAATAGCATTCATGATGCCGACGACGAGAAGACCAACTTCAGAGTCGGGAGAGTACAGGGTGTGAGTTGCTATGCCGATTGCCATGCCGCCTGGTGTAGTGCAACCGTATGCGAGAGCCATGAGCCAGGGCTGTGCAGCGCAGGGCTTCCAGTTGATGTCCGCGATACGTACACCGAGGGCGAGGCCTTCGAAAGTTTGATGGAAGACAATGGCAATGAGCAACACGGTGAAGTCGTTACCAACGGAAACGGCAAGCGACATTCCGATGAAGATGCTGTGGAACAGGATACCCATTTCCAAGAGAAAAACTTGCATAATGGCTTTCTTGTGGATTTGCTCGGGTGTGAGCACATGGTTGTGGTCTCCAGTTTCTTGATCCTGTTCGATAGCATACTCATCATTGTCTTCCTTGCTATGAGCGCCTGGAATCTCCGCTGCAGACCCACCAACAGATTCAATCGCGTCAAGTCTTTGGCCGTCTTCGCGGTAGCGGGAGAGTGTCCTACTGATGCTCCCAACTCTTCCACGCAAGACACCTAGATCTCGGACTCGCATGCTAGATTCGGAGTACGTCCTCTGCATTGCTGGTTGTGGTGGAGCCGGTGATTCAGTAGTCTCGTGCTTTGGCTCTTCCTTTCGGCGAGACACAGCCTCCGCGCCCTCGTTACCACCGCAGACATGCTGGGCCGGAGAAAAGATCATTTCAATCAATGTGACGAAAAACACACTAGCTAGCATGATAGCGCCCGGCATAGCCTGGTAGTCAGTTGTCCAGAAACTTGACAGACATGGGTCATTTAGTGAACCAAAAGCGGTGGGAAGTAAATGGACAAATGCGGTCGCGACTAGGACACCAGTACCGAAATGCTTTGCGCCGAAAAGGAAGGCAGGTGGAATGCGCAGCCGCGGGAATTTGAGTACGAGCATTGGGAAGGCACATCCAGTGCCGGATACGAAGAGAATAATGAAGAGACCAGCGACATGCAGACCCAGATCGTAGTTGGGCTGCGCTTTGCCATCTTCGCAGGTACTTCGCCTGGGAAGACGTTGGAATGATTGATCTGAAATTCGTTATTAGTAGTGACGCTTTGACGCAAAACGAGTTGTTCCATCTTACCTTTGGGCAAGAAAAACCTGGGAGCAGACAGATTGCCGCTAGCCCAGGAAATCAAAATTGAAGTACACAGTACTGATACTAGCCACTTTGACCAGCTGATGATAGTGGCGGTGAGGCCACCTTGGTACTCGCTCACATGTCTGGTTGTTCGGGTGCAAGGTCCTTTAGACGAGTCAGCATCGCAACCTTCATTTCCGAGTTATCGGAAAACTGCAACATACCGTTTAGGGACCCTTTGACACCCTCGCCCGTAGTGTTCGGCGGTCTCTTCTCCATCTCTTGAACATTAGAATCATCGATTCCACAGCGCCGGAGACTCTGTGTGCCGCTGCGCAACCGGTCTGCTTCTCCTAATTCCCTTGCATTCGCGATGCCGTTTAGGTCTTCACAAGTCGTCAGATCAGCAGCGAAGCGTGGCGGACTCTGGTTCCATTCTGGATGCCAAAGGACGTCCTCATCGGTTTTGGAAGGGCAGTTCATCTTGGGACCTCGGTAGCCAAGCCCTCCTTTCTAGACAGGGAGACGATGGAAGGTGCGTTTTGTAGTAGTGACAGCAATCTAGTCGGTAGAGCGCGAACGATGGGTTGATACGTTTGGAGGATGACGTGGAGATCGATCAATAACGGTGGGAATAGTCGGGAGATATGACATCTGAAGGAACTAGTAGTGGTCACTATGGTCGGTTAGCGGCTCTTCCGCGAGTGTTATTGCCCAATCACATGCTGGGGCCAAGTGCCAAGACATTCCGATCTCCAGTTCCGCCACGCGTAGACGGCCGAACGGGTGCTGGATCTTTTGATGGGTCTGTAATACAGCCGCCATTACTCCAGTCAAACTCCGTGTTTCAAAATTATACAAAAAGCCATACTCGCTCTCATCACCACCTCAATTACTGGAATCGGGTGTTCGGCTTGCCCAGCACGTAACGATGCGCGGCCGGTGGAGACTCTCAAGAAGATCGAACCCGATGTCTCCCGTAGAGCCATGAGCACCAAGACGTGCAAACTTTACCGATGCGGAAATTTCTGGGGTAATGGCACCAATAGCTAGTCTGGACCATGTGGTACTCCGACTGCTGACTACAACATGCGATTCTGGGCATCGATTGACTCAGACCTATTGATGAGCGCCACGAGTCAGCAGCATCTTAGAATAGACGCTATTATGTGACGAGTAGTTCTGAAAAAGAACATTTTCTTTGGTTGGCATGTGAGCACGCGACCTGCAGGACAGCCACGATTGTTTTAACGTTGCATTAGTTGCTCCAATGGACATGTGACGGGTAGCCCACACGGTCGCTTCCGAACATTTCTTAGCGCATGTTGAAGCGCGTTCTCGTATCATTGGTGTCTATGGGTATCACTTTTCACTGCGCCTTGGCTGTTTCCAATACTTCAAGCGCACCGCCAACCAGGTGCAAGCTTCCAGTTACCAACACCATAACTTCAGCATCGGCCCCCGCCTGCTTGGCATAGTCTTGCGCCACCTTTCGTGCGGTTCCGACTGCCTCTTCGATTGTACGTAGCACATGCACTTCTGCAGTGCTGTCAATATCAGACCACGTGTTCGCGAGCGCCTTCTGCACTGCCAATGTATCTACGTCCTGCTGGTTGGTGTTCATCGACACGAGATCAGGCTTGTACCCTTCGCTGAAGGTTTGATTGGTCGTAAAGATGACATGTGTGAAAGGAGACTGCGATCCAGACGTGATACCGCTCTGCAGAGCTGTGTATAGAGCTTTGGCAAGTGCATTTGCGTCTCGGGTTTGTTGGTTGAAGATCAGGATTCGAGGAACCTTGGATCGCGAGGTAGCGGTGGATGTAGCCATTTTGATCTGCTCCGCGAACCACTTTCCAGTAACCTCGATGCTTTCCATTGTGTGCCCTCCGTCGATGTGCCATGCAACGTTGGTCTCGCGTCTTATCTCGCATCTGCCAGCCCATCGCACTTGCTCTAGGCCGCGAATGAATTCGGAAGGGAGTTCGATATGGGGAACGACGGTGGGGTCGGGCACCGAAGTGTGGCCCAGTGCTCGCAGGTGTGCAGCAGCAGCAGCTATTGCCACGGACGCATTGATTTTCTGGAACGCTGCACCTAGCCCAAGCTTGATCTCGTTGTTGGCTAGAGCCGGATGTATGTCGATGGTGTGTAGCTTCGTGCCCTTCTCTGCCGCCCGTTCTTCCAGAACGGTCATGGCTTCGTCCTTTTGACGCGCCGTAAATGCGACACTGCCTTCTTTGAAAATTCCTGCCTTGTGCCAGGCTATCTCTGGAAGTGTAGAACCGAGCATCGCGGTATGATCTATCCCTAGACTCGTGACGGCTGTGACAGTGGGTTTTGTCAAGATGTTGGTGCTGTCAAATTCGCCGCCAATGCCACACTCAATAACAGCCGAGTCCACACCCTCCTTCAGATACGCATGTAGCGCCATAAGGGTCAGATAGCGGAAGTATACTGGCTTTGTGGGCACGTCTGCGGGCGCATTTTCGGTCTTCGCTGCTGCCTCCAGCTTGTCCCATACCTCGAAGAAGTATTTGGCGAACTTCTCCTCTGATATTGGCTCATTGTCGATTTGTATGCGTTCACGTACGAATCGCAGATGTGGGGAGGTGTAGAGGCCGATCTTCGAGGGTGGAGTCTGCGCATCGCGGGAGGTCGCGTATTGCGACAAGATAGATGAGATAAAGGCACTAGTTGAGCCCTTTCCCTTTGTTCCGGCGATGTGTATAGGCTTCAGCCTGTCAAATTCTGAGGGCTGGACATGTCGTCAGTCACCATCCTCAGGTGGGGTTCTCGGGAGCCGCACACCTCATATCCAGCTTTGCGACACCATTCAATCATCTCCGGTATCGCCTGCTTGTTCATGCCGCGACCCGACTTGCGGATCGCATCGACTATGGAGAAGTTGGACTGAAGCGTGTTCAGCGCCGCAACCGCAGCCTGCGATGGTCAGCCCAATCCATGCGCACATTGCTAGAAACATACCGCATAGTCGCGCTTCTCCATCGTGGCGGCTGTGTGATGAAGGCGGGCAATTGGTCTAGCGCGCAACCAACACGTGCGTGTCCGGGCTATGAACATGAGGGCATCGTGATTGATGCTTGAGAGACTGTCTGCGACTTTTGTTAGTGAAAGAAAGCCCGCCGCCGATAGCCGATGACGCATCAGCTCGGACCCTCGTTCTCGCATGCCTCAAATGGACCTGCGATCCACCTCACCTCTCGCTTCACCTCCTTGAACCGATGCATCATGTTTTGCTCTTCGCAAGCAAATATATTGACCTGCTCAAGCGACTACTGACTTAGTGTCTATCAATGCTACTTATACAACTAATTTTACATACAATTACAGGTTCATCGTGTTGTACGCCGCACCCTCATCCCAGAGCGGATAGTACGAGCCGAACAAGTCCAGCGACTCGCCGTCGAGCATTGTCCCACCGTCATTCCGAAGATTCCATCCTAGAGGGAATGGCTGCAAATCCGCGTATGAAGGAAAAGCTGATGGCGCCTCAGCGACTGTTGTTTCCTGCGGCCCCTCAATCGGGGCCACACCTTCGGCATACATGGCAGACGATTTTGGGTGGCTATTCTTCTCAGAGTCGTTTTGCGCCCGCACATAAGTTCGCGCTATCTGTGTGAACTCCGATGCGATGGACCCTGGGAGTGTTCCCTGCGAAGCGTACTCCAAGCCACTGAAATGACCACAGCCAACATCGAGCAAGGCCAAATTGGCTGTGGTTTTTGGATGGGTCGGATTATCTATGACCATGTCGAAAAGAACAAGATAAGCAGCCAACGGAACGCTGGCAAGAACCCTGCAAATCATCAACAACTGTCACACGAGCAAGGATACTCAAACTTACCAAATGGGTGTGTAAGGCTGCATATCGATAAACTTTGTGAGCTCGAGCACCGTCCGCGCTGTACGCATAATGCCGTCCACCAAATCAGACCGAGCATCAGACTCATCCTCCATCTGGAGAGCAGTACGATCAAGATGCAACATGGTGCCATGGTACAAATAATGGAGCCGTATACCAATATCAATCATTTGCGTGGTTTGGGTATACGGCCGTATAGGTTGCCCTGGCCGAAGCTCCATGGGTATCGTCTTTGCCCATGCTCCCAGCTCGGACTTGAGGTTGTAGATGGTCGTATTGTAGTAGGCTTTCGGTCTACCTCGTACACTGACAGAGAACAGAGATGCGTATATGCGACTAAGGAGTCGTGATATCCGGATAGACGCACGAGTCCAGTCAAACGACGTGCCGCTGCACAATAACGGCTGAGTTGGGATAGCACTGCTGATGTCCGAATCCATGATAGTAGAGCATCTGCCAATATTGAACGACATGTTCTTTTCAAGGAAATAAAGAACATAGAATGTGCGGTTCCGTTCATCGTTACCAGGAGCCGTCGATCTGTTGTACCCTAGTGTTTGTGCCTTCTTGGCCCCTTCTGACACCATGGCGTATTCAATTTGCAGACACGAAAGATTCGAGGCAAAAATTGCCATGGCTGTCAGTGCTTGAACCGTGTTCAATGTGGTTCTGCTAATCAACAGATCTGGAAAGATGGCTAGAGCCGTGCCAAAAAACCGCCAGCTTCCACTCTTTGTAGGCTCATAGCTACCTCCATCGTGGTACTGCGAGCCCAGAGCGAGAACAGCGTAAAACAGTGCGGACCACGACTTGTCGCTGGCGAGTTTGTCGCTCAGATTCGGACTGAGAGCGATGCTTTCGAATCGCCGCCTGTCGAGAAATGGATGAATCGGGTCGACATGCTCAAAATAGGCTATACGGTCAACCACGGACGTGAACACCAGACGTTTACGAACTTACCTTGAATGCAAGTCGCGATGTATTCTTTTTCGATATCAAACACACGGATACGATCGGAGTCTGGCGCAGGAGCAGGTACTCGCTCGATAGTTTTCATTCGCTCTCCAATGATATTGGTCACCTTCGCCCGAGCATGTGATACGCGGTCATGACCAAGACGGATGGCCAGCTCCTTCAGTCGAGCCTCGGGGAAGAACGTCAGACTGTACTCGCTCCCTGTTTGAATTTTGGTAAGCTGACAGCAAAGAAGCAAGAACTGGTTTATGACCCGGACTTACCGAAAACACCGAGATCTTGCAGGCTCGGACTCTGCGCACTGAGCGCATTGTCTTGATCGGGAGCAGATAGAAGCCTGTCTACGTACAACTCTTGGAGTCCGTCATACTTTGACATGCCTCCGAACGAGCTATGATCATCGTGGTGAATCTCCGATTCGTCCCTAAGTTCGGGGTCCACTTTCTTTGCGGAGCCTACGACGGATTCTTGCTGCGAGCTTGATGCATATCGTCTCTTCCGTATGCGGACAGGACTGAAGTTGCAGACCTCGTTTCTTCGAGCGCAGTTGAGACACTTCGTAGCACCTGGATGTCCTATTCAACTATCAGTGTCACACTTCTGAGGATGAAAGGGTGGATCAGTAATCAGCGACCTACCGATACCACCACAACGAACTTTGCGAGTTTTGCATGGATCGCATGTTTTCATCAGTTTACCGCCGAAATCCATAGTTCTCGAAGAAAGGCTTTGAACATGCAGGAAGACTTCGGGTGCGTAAAAGAACGAGGGATGGCGTCTTCATAAAGCTCGGAGCCGAGGAGGTGCATTGATAGCGTTCGGATAGACCCGCTTTAGCCTTACGCGGCTACCGAGATGCGAGCTTCCTTCCGAAAACATGGAAACAAGTTCAGAGTTGACTTTCTCTCGTCATTACCGATGAGTAAGGAGAGAAATGGATGCCATGAGTAAGAGTTTGATATATAGATCTGGTCGTTCGACCAGATCGAGCATTCTGCTATCGCTGTACCATCACCCTTGAGCTGACCATGTCACCCAATACCTCTGATGATACAGATGACGAAACAATCACCTCTTCTGCCCCTCAGAATGATCAAAACGAAGAATCTCTTTCACCTGCTGCAGTCGCGCGCCTTGTTCGACGTGTCTCGGCTGCACACGACCCAGACCGGAAAATCGACCCTTTTGACGTTGACGACCCAAACTGGACTCTGGAAAGGACGCTTGCAATTGCTATCGATCGAGGAGCACGGGATGGCGCAGGGCCTCTGTCACCACATGTGACGCTTGCGTGGAAGGATGTCTCCGTATACGGCGACGATGTCGGCAGGGCTACACAGCAAGACGCGCTGTCCCTCTTCACCAATCTCATCACTATGATCCGCAACTCATTGAAGAAGCCGCAAGAGAGAAGAATTCTCCATGATATCGACGGAATACTCGCTCCTGGCGAGATGATGTTGGTCCTTGGGCCTCCATCCAGTGGTTGCACGACATTGTTGAGAATGCTCTCTGGACAGATCGAAGGCTACCGGAAATGGTCTGGATCTATCAGCTACAGCGGTATCAATCTTGAGACTATGCGAAAGCGATTCGCAGGTATGCTGACCTTCAACGACGCCATCGACCACCACTTCCCCTATCTTACGGTTTCTCAAACTTTGGAGTTTGCAGCCAGTACCAAGACACCTCGGATGCGTATGGACGGTGTCTCACGAAAGCAGTACATCGAAGGCATCAAAAACATCCTCATGGCAATCTTCGGTTTAAGACACACAGCCCAGACCCGCGTGGGCAATGACTTCGTACGAGGTGTATCTGGAGGCGAGAGGCGTAGAGTTTCAATCGCTGAAATGGTAGGTCTTGTTGGAACAGACACCATAATGCTTACAATGCTGACTGTGAATTAGCTTCTTACTCGAGCTTGCGTGACCTGCTGGGACAATCCAACAAAGGGTCTTGATAGCTCAACATCTTTAGACTTCGCCAGAGCGCTGCGTGTTGCCACCGACCTCACCAATAACGTATCCATATCTGCTTTGTACCAGCCAGGTGATTCACTGGCTGGCACGTACGACAAAGTGCTGCTTCTTCATGAGGGTCGCCAGATCTACTTCGGAGACGTGCACGCAGCGAAAGGTTTCTTCGAAACCATGGGCTTCGTCTGCCCCTCTCGTCAGACTGTTGCAGAGTTCCTGGTCTCTATAACAGATCCAAGCGCACGAGTTGTGCGTGAAGGTTGCGAGAACCAAGTTCCACGTACTGCACAAGAGTTTGAGGATCGTTGGAGAGCCAGTGCTGATTACCACAACTTGAGGCTGGCGATCGAAGAACATCTCGACACAGTTGACTCTATGCAGAGTCAGGAATTGAACCGATTCAAGAGCGTGCGATCTGCTGAAAGAGCCCCCGCTACTCGCGTATACTCGCCATACACTCTGAACCTTGGCATGCAGTTCACCACGACTTTCAAACGAGCCGTTCAACGGATCCAAGGAGAGTATGCCTATTTTACGGCTATCACAGCGACGATGCTCATCATCCCGTTGATCATGGGGTCGATGTTCTATCAGATTGATCCTGGAACAAGCGGATTCTTTTCTAAAGGCGGTATCATCTTCTTCATTGTCCTCTTCAACATCATCATCAATTTTGCTGAAATTGTCGCGCAATTTTCGCAGAGACCGATTGTTGAGAAACATCATGCCTACAGCATGTACCACCCGTACATCGATGCTCTGGCTACAATGATTTCGCAATACCCAATCAAGATCATCAACATCATGCTGTTCACGGTCATTGTTTACTTCATGGCTGATCTAAAGAAGGAAGCTGGTCCATTCTTCCTCTTCGTTGTCTTCACCTACCTTACTACAGTAACCATGACTGCCTGGTTTCGCATTATCGCAGCATTCACTTCGACTGTGGACATAGCGTTAGCTGTGGCTGGACTATCCATTCTCCCGCTGGCCATGTACGGAGGATACGTCATCCCCCGTCCTTCGATGCATCCTTGGTTTAAATGGATCTCCTACATCAATCCCATCTACTATACCATCGAAGCCCTCATGGCCATCGAGTTTCATGGACGGCAAGCACCTTGCCAGCAGTTAATCCCGTCTGGCCCTGGATATGAGAATGTAGACACACAGAACCAAGTCTGTGCCGTTATCGGAGCTAGACCAGGTGTCCCGTACGTAGTCGGAGACGAGTATATCGCTTTGTCGCATGGGTACTCATATGACCATGTGTGGCGCAACCTCGGCATATCGATCGCTTTCTTCCTAGCATTTACCATTATTTATGCTGCGACGACCGAGTTCATGAAGTCGTCTAATGGTACTTCCCAGATGGTCTTTCGGAAGAATTCGCCTTGGGCTACAGCAAAGCCTCATGACACGGAAAGCGGTGCAGCTGGTACATCTGGCACTGATGAGAAGGTTGCGACTGGTGGGAGTACGCCAGGTATCGAAAGCGGCAAAGATGTCTTCTCTTGGAAACACCTCAACTACGACATCGATATTAAAGGAACTACACGTCGATTGCTGTCCGATGTCGAAGGTTTTGTTGAGCCTGGTACACTGACGGCACTTATGGGCGCTTCTGGAGCGGGCAAGACCACCCTACTCAATGTACTCGGACAACGTGTTGGTGGAGTGGGTATCGTAACTGGTGATCCAACGATCAACGGCGTTGCCTTGGATGCCTCGTTCCAGCAGCGCACTGGCTATGTACAGCAGCAAGATATCCATATGGCTGAGATGACAGTCCGCGAGGCTTTCCGTTTCTCTGCGTCTCTTCGTCAACCACAAGAAGTATCTTTGGAAGAAAAGTATGCCTACGTCGAGAAGATCATCTCAATTCTTGGTCTGGAAGACTTCGCAGAAGCCGTGATTGGCATTCCAGGAAAAGGACTCAGTGCAGAGAAGCGAAAACGTACCACGATAGGGCTTGAACTTGTCGCACGGCCGTCGTTGCTCATCTTTGTTGATGAGCCGACATCTGGCCTTGACTCTCAGTCAGCGTGGTCCATCGTTCAACTGCTCCGAGATCTTGCCAATGCAGGCCAGGCAATCCTATGTACCATTCATCAGCCTTCTGCTACTCTTATCGAACAATTCGACCGACTGCTATTGTTAGCACGAGGTGGAAAGACCGTCTACTTTGGAGATCTGGGCAGAGACTCACAAACGGTTCTCGATTACTTTGCTGGCTACGGTGCACCCAGGTGCCCAGAAGGCGCAAACCCAGCCGAGTACATCCTCGAACAAATTGGAGCAGGCGCCACAGGACAAGCAACACTCGATTGGCCTTCAGTATGGCAGTCATCCATCGAGCGCAGAGCTGTTACCGAACGCATTGAGCACTTCGAGTCATTAGGCCGCTCCAATCCTGCCCAAGATTCCAGCGCTCCGATGCGCAAGTTTGCGACAAGCTGGTGGCAACAATATCTCCTCGTACAGAAGCGACTTTTCGTGCAGCAATGGCGCTCGCCGGGCTACATTAATAGCAAGCTTGCTATCAACGTCATCGGTGGGCTGTTCATGGGTTTTACTTTCTACAAAGAACAAAACTCCGTGCAAGGCCTACAGAACAAAGTGTTCTCAGTCTTCACGATCCTGCTTCTCTGTCTCATCCTGATGGTTCTTGTCCAGCCTCGGCTCATCGAACTCCGGAAGATATACGATGTCCGCGAAAAGCACTCGAACATGTACCACTGGAGCGTCTTCGTAGTGGCAAACGTACTCGTGGAGATACCCTTCAATTTTGTCATTTCAAGCATATGCTTTCTCTGCTGGTACTTCCCCGTGGGCTGGTGGCGCGACATATCTGACGGGCGAGGCGCATTCATGTACCTCGTGTTCAGCGTCTACCAGATCTATCACGCAACCTTTTCGCAGGCACTTGCCGTCGTCACACCCAATGCCGAAACAGCCGCCATGTTGACCATTCTCTTCTACACGTTCATTCTCGCTTTCAGCGGAGTGCTCCAACCGCTTTCGCAACTCGTCGGGTTTTGGCATTTCGCCTACTACGTCAGTCCTTTTACATGGCTCGTCTCAGCCATGATGTCTACCGGTGTGCATGACGTTCCGGTTCAATGCACGGTAGCCGAGACCAACGTCTTCCAGCCTCCTCAGGGACAGACGTGCGGCGAGTACGCTGGCGCGTTTGCGAATGCGAGCATGGCGACATTGTACAACCCGGATGCAAATCAAGACTGTCAGTTCTGCCAATTCGCCGTCGCGGATGTGTACCTTGGTGCTTTGAACATGTCATACGACGACCGCTGGAGGAACTTTGGCTTCCTGATTGTTTACACTGCGTTCAATGTGGCTGTGTTCACACTTGGCTTTTATTTGTATTCTGGTCCCGGATTGGGCAATACGCTGAAACGCGTCTTCAAGGCTAAGAAGGCCTGATTGTGGTATCGTTATTAATCATACTTGGTGGGTGAATGTGTCTTATAGATTTCGAGCGATCGTATTGTAATACAAAGCACTTGTTTATTTTCGAAGTTTATTCTGAGCGCGTGCTGCATGAGCTGAGGGTGATTGACAGTAAGGTTGAGACACAATAACAGACAGGGTTTGGCGGGTCAATTGCGGGGCGCCGAAAGTAGCCTAGCGCATGTGGTCGTAGCTCTCTCACTCGATTGATCCTCGATGGACAATCCGACCGCAGCCATTGTTTCGACCGCAGTCAGCGCCTTTATCAACCACCGCGCGCCCCTTTTCTTCTTCTCTTTCCCCCATTGTCGCACGACGCACGAAACCACATTGATTGACATCTTGACACTCGTCGCGCAACCGGACACATTACAGCTTCGTTGATTACGCGCCCCTTGTCGCGTCGAGCTTACCACCGGTACTCACCCTCCCATCACAACCACACGCGCAACCATGTCGGACTACTCAAAGATGAAGAACGACGAGCTGTCGGCGCTTCTCAAAGAGCGCAAGCTACCCCACACTGGCAAGAAGGCAGAGATGGTTGAGCGTCTACAGAAGAACGACGCGGAGAAGGCCGGCGCGAAGCCTGCTGCTGGCGCCGAAGACGAGATTGACTGGGACGACGAAGCCGACGATGCCGCTGCTGCGCCAGCTGCTACTACCACGGCGACGGCAGAGGCCGTCATTCCTAACGCAGAGACTGTCGCAAACGCCGGAGGTGAAGGCCAGCCGCCGAACCCACAAGCCGTGCCTAACCAAGTCGCCGATATCGACCCTGCGCAAACCGACGATCTAACCACCGAGCCACCCGCCGAAGGCGCCGCAGCTGCCACCGAAGAGCCCAAGCCAGAAGAGAAGAAGGAGCCTACTCCCGATTACTCAAGAGGCCTGGCCGCCACCAACCTCGACGAAGAAATCGAGAAGCGCAAGAAGCGTGCGCTGAAGTTTGGTACAAAGCTCGAGGATGACGAGGGCCTCAAGAAGCTGGAGCGTGCTAAGAAGTTTGGAGAGGTCGCGGCTCCTCTTGGTCTCGACCAGGCTCTCCCAGAGCGCCGCGAGAAGCGCCGACGAGAGGGTGCCGGTGAAGATGCTGCTAGCAACAAGCGCCGCGAAGGAGGCCGTGAGGGTGGACGCGAGGGAGGTCGCGAGGGAGGTCGCGAGGGAGGTCGCTCTGGTGGTCGTGGAGGACGTCGGGACAACAGGCCTCGCAGCAGGGATAACCGTCCTCGCGAGAACAAGACAGGTGGTGGTGGCGCCGGCGGCAGCTGGATGAGCGAAAAGGACAGGGCGGCCGCTGAGGCCAGGAAGGCCAAGTTTGCGAAGCCAACGGCTTGAGCATAATAATGCGGTTTCGATGGTTTTCCCGGTTTGACCTATGAGCGGCCGACGAGCGAGCGACTTCGAAGACGGAACTTCGATCCCGCGACAGCACTCGGACATCGGTTGAAGAGTTTGGACAGCAACGGCGCACTCCTTGTATAACATATTTTTGCGGACTACATTTTACCCAATTTGCCGGACCATCTGCGATTGTCGCTTCTTCAGACACATCACGGATATATCAATTCAAAGCTCATTTCTCTACACGGACTCCTCATCGTCTCTTCGCGGTTTATTCTTTGCATATCATCGCTCTTTGGGCTCACATAGCGAAGCTTTCGCGTAAACATTCATTCCGAAAGTTCTGAAGTCGCCATCAAAATACATCCATCCGCCCTGGCATCCGCGCCTTCTAACAATCCAGCCGCGTGAACAGTCGACGCGTTTTGGAAGCCAGGCATAGCTTATCATGCCTTCCGAAGATGCAACAAACTACTCGGACAAGTTGCGGTTGCAAAGTCGGCGTTTGCAACATCATCAACGCTTGCAAGCTATAGTTGCCTTTCATCGACAACCCGTAATGCACCCTACGCGGTTCAAGACTGCAAGTATCACTTATGCAGTCAACATATACTACTGCGATATCCATGCAGTATTGACAGATCAACAAATCTACAGCAACTTCATGTTGCTTACAATACTCATCTCCAAGCACGCCTTCTCATGTGCCACTTTCGTGATGCTAGTGCTGTCAAACGCCACAAAAAGTCGTTGCATATTCCCGACCTCGGTAGCTAAACGCGATCCCCGCACGTAAACTAACACAACCAAAGGGGGAAAAGAACGCTTAGCAGTCGTCACCGTTAAATGGTGCAGCCCACTAAGGGAGTTTGTGGGGATATTTAGACGGTGGCAGTCCCCGCGCGTAAATTCCGCGTTCATGATCTGCATATGCCGTGTTGCCTTTTCGCGCTTTGTTGACTATGACTCTTTGTCCTTGATTTCCAGACTGAGACGACAAACTCGATAATCGGGCCGCCAGACCATTTTACCAACCTATTCAGGATCTTTGAAAAAAGTGCATGACTCGGCATTCAGAAGTCGGAATCGGACAAGAGTCGGAGTAGTCCTACAACCGGCACCGCTTGAAAGTACATGGGAGGGAAAACACTCATAACAAGTGTTACACATCGAAATAGCCAGAAGCAACGATAAAAGATCGCGCGAAGGGGCTCGGAAGAGGAGTCAGAGACCGTCGAGAGTTTCACATAATGTCTCAATCAGATGTGGAGGAGAAACATGCCATCAAAGACAAAGCGGTCTCTCAAGAAGACATCAGCCGACCTTCATCTTCCATCCACGATGAACTCAATCAACAGAACGAACCAGTGCAAAACCATGAGCCAGTGGGGGACAAGGAGGCGCAAACAGATGCTCGATCAACAATGACCACAGAGTCTGCCATTCCTCCACCTCCAGATGGCGGGCTTCACGCTTGGCTGAAGGTCTTTGGAGGATTCATGATATATATCAACATCTGGTACGTCAAACTTCGCTCTGATCACGCTCGTCTCCTTAGTTGCATACAGCCATCACGGACAACCATAACTAACACTAACAACCACACCAGGGGCTTCACCCTAACTTACGGCGCCTTCCAAACCTACTACCGGACCACCCTTCTTCCATCCTCCTCACCATCCGCAATATCCTGGATTGGTACCGTACAAGCTTGGCTCCTAATCGTCATCGGCGTCCTATCAGGCCCGCTCTTCGATCTCGGTTACTTCCGCAGTATGCTCTTAGTCGGCAACGTTTTAGTTGTGCTGGGTATTATGATGCTCAGTTTGAGTACAAAGTACTGGCAGGTTTTCTTGAGCCAGGGTCTTTGTATGGGATTGGGCGCAGGATTGTTGTATATACCTAGTCTGGCTATGGTGGGGGTTTGGTTTAGTAAGAAGAGGGCGGTTGCGCTGGGAATTGTCATGAGTGGGATTGCCGTTGGTATGTATTTTTCCTGCTTGTTTCGTCAATCCAGGCCCTTGTGCGGAGAGAAAAATTTGGAAGGCCAGAAAAGAAAACCTAGATGCGACGGCGAGTTAACATATCAAATCAGGTGGTGTGATCTACATTATCATGTTTGATCACCTTGTTAGAACTGCCGGTTTCCCTTGGGCTATTCGCGCCATAGGGTTCGTTGCCTTAGCCGCAGCTCTCCTTTCCATCCCCGCTCTCCTCTCCGGCTCCGCGTGGCTCAAACACAAACGCAAGCGTCGCGCTCTCTTCGACAAAACCGCACTCCACGACCGTCTTTTCCTTATCTTCACCGCGTGCTCTTTCAGTACTTTTCTCGGTTATATTGTACCGTATTTTTACATTCCGACATATGCGCGCGAGCGGCTGGGTAGTAATGAAAGCACAGCGCTGTATATGCTAGTGTTGGCCATCGCAGGGAGTTTCTTCGGCAGACTAGTCAGTGGCGTGTTGGCGCATTTTCTGGGCGCGATTGTTACATGGGCGCTTTGTGCGTTTTCGAGTGGGGTATTAGCGTTGTGTTGGATCAGCATTGAGACGGAGAAGACGTTCATTGCTTTTAGTATACTATGGGGTATGTTCTTTTCGCTACTCGTCAACGACACTACTGACACACAGCATCATGGATCTTGGCTGACAGTGACTCAGGCTTCTTCTCAGCGGCTCTCGTTACGGTGCCATCTGCTGCTTTTGCCAACATCACGCCGGACCTTTCGCGGTTAGGTACTAGGCTTGGTATGAGCTGGAGTGTGTCTAGTATTGCTTCGCTCATTGGTGCGCCGATCGCCGGGGCTTTGCTCAAGAAGACGAATGGGCGGACCAATTTCATTGGTGTGCAGGTGTGGAGTGGTGTGTGCCTGATGCTCGGGACCTGCTGGTTGGTGGTGCTCTGGATAGTTACTGTGAGGACGCAGAAGAAAGGCTGGAGAGTCTAGTAATGGTAGCAAATGAAGCCTCAGGATTGCGCTTTCAGCTTGCAAACGGGACACTGAAGTCCGATCTTTCAATGATCTTGGTATCTTGTGTCGTACTGCATCGGTCTGCTCAACGGGCCGTAGCGAGAGGATGTTGTGGCTTGCTTCCTGACTACTGTGTTCTAACCACGTGCTACACGTGTGTTGTGGTGTCGTACCGATGGCGGCCCGCAATCGGTCCTATATCCTGGCCCGGGTTAACGACAAAATGAACGTCAACGATACGAGAACTTATTATTTGCCGGCGGTAGTAGACGCCCTTGAACAAGCTGGACGTTATACTTTTTCCCATCTGCAAGACCCACAGCGGAGATTTTAGATCGGCGGCTGAAGACGCAGCGAGCTCGTCGGCTTGAATCTCCACACGGAAATGGGATAACCTTGATACACAACGAATCTGCGACACAACACCGTAATACAGCTCTGGATGAAGGAGTAGGTTCTAGTCATACGCTCGCTCAACGTGTGATCCGCCTGAAAATCAAGGTGTGCTTGGGGTTTGGCTAGAAAAATTGGATCACCTTGACATACCCAACAGATCCTTCTGCACTGGAGGCCTTACAAAAGCAAAGAGTGTACGAGAATGGGAGGTTGAGATTGGAGGTGTTCAGCTGGCGATTGCAAATTCCTGCAAAAGTCACTCGATCACGGCTCCACCCACCGTCTAGCCGCTTTAGAATACTGCACCCTGTGGTGCGCTTCACTTGCTTGATTCACTCTACCGGTGAGATCTTCGTAGCAAATCTTCCACATCTTGCCATCGCTGACACTAGACAGCGTCGCTTAGCGTTGTATACAAAACGTGTGGATCCTGGGACGCCGTGAAACGTGCGAACGTGCGATCCTGCACCAAACCCTTGCTACTTAGTAATCATAATGTCATACCGTATAGCATTGGTGGGGATCGGGTCGCCGACCATGATCTAACGTTGCGCCTCGCGCTAATGGAAGGGCTGAGAATAAGAGATCTCGAAACGAACATGTCGATTTGAGCTAGTGAGTATCCTTGTCTCGCGTGGGGTTGTTGACGTCGCAGCATCGTTCCAATGGCTATAGCACCAGCAAATCACCACGTATATCACAAGAAAATGACGTGAATGTGTAACACTTCGACATCATACACCGTCTTCCTACGCGATGCGATCAGCATTGCGCCAACTGGCGTATTGTCGCAAGTGTCGAAATCATGAACAGGGTGTAAGTCTTCTACTGGGATCATTATGGAGGATACGTGAAAACACGTGTGTCATGCTTGCTGATTCGCTATCTAATCTTCTAACAACTCCACACCGCGATTTATACTTTGGGGGTCGGAGAAGTCTGTCCCATCGCTGCTGTTGACGATGACGATCTAGTCCTCAGCCTGCTTGGTGACAGATCCGATTAGGCCACCCGAAGACCCGGAGACCTGGTCACCAGGCCCACCTGCATGGCAGCGTGGTATCACATGAAAGCCAGCCCATCGATACGCGAAACCGCCATGGGCGCTTACGCCAAGGAAGGACTACATGTATCATTCGGCCTGTATACGGTCCTATAGTCGGATAGAGCCGCATGCAAAGCGTGTTGATATAACCACTAAAGAGCTTGGCATAGTATGCTTGCTTATCTGCGGTTGCAGTCTGTATGACCATAGTCCAGGTTCAAAGTTGATAGACTTGTCAAATGGGGAAATATGCACGAGAATCTGAAACCAAATAGTTCAGCGCTTCTGCAGCCGAACATCGTGCGGATAAAAGCCGTCTTGGTGTATAGAACGCGAAGCAATATTACCAAGATGAGATAATGCTCCGTTACCATGCTCGCTTTAGTTTCTTAGTACATGGAACGAAACTGAACGGCGGATTGCATGCTCCCCAATAACGCACTCGCATACAACAGATGTGTGAACTTGTCATATTACTACGTATTATATTTCTTTTGTGCTGCCGAACACATCTCCAGATGTCAAGCGATTTCCTAACGACATGATCATTCGCCAAAGCGACTCCGAATCCAATTCTGTAAAGGGTATCAGGGCTGTCATGTGTTAGAATTTGCTCTGTCATATGGACTCCATCAAGCTTACTCTGTACGACCCATTGACCACCATGGGTTCGGCTCGCCCCACCACGGTAGTATCCGTATCCATGCGTACATGCAAGATCATGCCCATGTGCTCTCGTCCGTTGAGTGTGTTTGCCGCGTGTTGCGCCAGGTCCTTCGACGCAAACTTGGCTGTTGCCACACCCTTGAAGACACCAGTCCTGCTGTCCTTCATAAGTTGTATATCAATGGCGTAACCGACCGTCTGCAACAATAGTGCATTGACATCATCTGATGTGCACTTGTAGCTCAAGTTACGAATGAAAATGCCGCGGGCTTCTGTCAAAACTGCTCCACCCTGGACATTCACTGGCATTCCATTCGTACTAGTCGAGTAGACTGGTGATGTCGGCAACGCATAAGCTGGGTAAACTGGGGCAGGGGCGTATGCTAGTTGCTGTGGGGAATAGGCATGCATTTGCGGGTGCATCGCATACGGGTACCTGGACTGTCCGGCCCCATACGGCGTTGACACCGTAGTGGTACTCGCTCGGCCGCCACCCAGCTGATGCACTCTTCCGATGTCGATGCCGCAACGCCCAGTCGAGTGGCCTCCTTCCGGTACTTCCGGAAATAATGTGGAGCAGTTGCAGCGCATCAACCGGTAACCGTCACCCTTACGGCTGGTTTCCCAAACATGCACCAGCATGCCTTTAGATCGGTAGTAGACTTCTACAAAGAAGGTTAGCGTATGTTCCCTGAGTTTCATCCCTCCAGCTACCTACTGTAGACTGCATCGGCATCTTCCCTGTCCTTGAGTCGACACCAGCCCTGTATTTCGCCTCGTCGTTGACCCTGACTAGAGTATACATCAGCCCACCCAGGCTGCTCTTTGACCACTTTGCGAAGATGATCCTTGAATTCTTGCCACCCAGTCAAGTAGGGAGCATAACGTGTAGTGCCAGATACGACAAGCAAGAAGTCTTCGTCACCTTCTTTCCGAGATACTGTGTATGACATTATCGTATATGGAGACGGAAATTTGCAGATGAGGTATCTTTGACACCAGCAAGTAGCCACAGTGTGAAGTTATGAAGCTATGGCTGATCGCAACTGATTGTGCAACGAATTGAAGCCAAAAGCTAGAGCAATGTCTGAAAGTAGTTGTGTATGTTGGAAGATAGAAGGAGAACGATTTGGAGGATCGCGATAGACATCATGTAGGACGAGATCTCTATTTCTACTTTTAAACCATGAGTCCTCCATACTCTATAGTGTCCGATATCGTAAGTGTAAGGATCCAGGTATCCTAGTCGGCAAACAACCAGATCGCGCATTTTGGCATGGAGCCATGTAGGAAGATTCCCGCTTCCCCGCGCCACGATCTGGAGCTGACAATGGATCCATGGTGTGGGCGCCCGAACTCCTGTGTGGCGGCTGTAATGCGGGATCTGACGCCGCTAACGGGACTGCCCTGCGCCATCGGCCCTTGGTCACAGCGTCATCAACTTTTTTTGGAATTCGTAACCGTGCCTATCATATGCCCTGACTGTCTATTTACGCTCGTTGATCGTCGAGGCTGTTGCAAAGTAATTTCATCTGGCGTGGGGTAGCACGTGTTCACTGACTTCGAAGATCAAAAACGAATTAGTATCTCTGCATCCGGTATACGAGACATATGCTTGACGTATTACTCTTAGTAGAGTGTCTGCCCTTGGAGATGATAGGCTTTGACGTGCATATGTTGATGGAAGCGCTGCAGTGTGCCTCGGGTGCTGCCGTGGTTACAGGTCCTGTCACTATACCCAGCCCTTGCTGCATTGTCTGTGATTCATCATCTGCACGTGAAGATGCAGGTGATATTATCCGGAACGGCCCATTCAATTGCATGCTAGTTCTGTCCCGTGGGATAGAACACGGTGTTGACCGCAGAATCATATCTGGTTAAGTCAGCAACATGCATTCGATGAGGCGCTAGCGTAAACGCAGAACTAGATACTGTTATCTCTACTGCAAGTGTTGATAAGATGTTTCCATGTTCTTGAATAGGCTATGTACCCTTGATCAAGATGATGTTGTGTACAGCAAAATCAATATGAGGTCCAGATGATAAGCTTCTGATCGAAACCGCCGGAGATCAAATACTCGACCTTCTTGTTGACGTCTGATTGATCAGAGCTGGGTCCTACCATTTGGCCTGACCAGAGGCATCGTAGCTTTGATCCAGGTTCATGTGCCTTCAATGATGAGATCAACTTTCCACTCTTGGTCTCAATACCACGAACTACTCCATCGTCAGAGCTCACATATACTCCAGAGCCGTCAGGACGCCATACTAGGCGCGGCGTAGAGTAAGAAGTTTGTGGTGCTAGAGTGGAAACGTTGACTAGTATAGCTGATTCTTCTTTGTCTGCAACGAGCAGTTCAGCCCTGGCTTGCGACGCTTGTGTCAAGGATCCATCCGGTCCCGAAGTAGTTTCTGTATCCGATACCGAAGATCGGGTAGGAGGAAGCAAAAGCTTTACTATCAATAGCTTCATATGCGGTGTACTAGAAGTTGCGATCGCGACAAGGTATGGATTCGTGGGGCAGACCTGTACATCGGATGGCGTAAATGCGACCCACGCATTGGAATGTGGAGCGAGATTTTGCTTGCCGATCAAGGTGAACGTTGGTGACTCTGGGCTCGGCACAGCGTAATAATGTAGGAATGTGGAGTCTCTACGGGCGACAACCAGGACTGGCGTACTATCTCCCGGCAAGCTGACGAATACGGTCGATTCAGGGATGCTCGGTAATGTCAACGTGGCTATCGGATCTCCCAGGCGTGAGTGTTCAATGCTGCTATCGATTTGGTATAGGACTACTTTAGCGTCCCATCCTGCACTAGCAACAAGCATGGATCTGCCTTCCGAAGCCCAAGTGGACAATTTGACTAAGTACTTTGAGTGGTCTTTACGTTGCTCCAATACTTCGTTGGCCGCTGTATCAAACAGTGTCAACTTTCCAGACATTGAAGCAACGAGTAGACGTCTGGAGTCCACTGGAACGACGTCTAGAGTTGGTGAGTCCTGGAAGCTGGAAATAGTATGAACACAGTCAAGCGCATGTGAGCTCGGATCCAACAGGTGCAGTTGACGATCGGCCGTAGTGACGGCCACATACTGTTGGATCTCTGCCGTTGATGGTAGCATGAGATCGAGAACCGACACACTGAGTATGTTGGAACGATTCGGTAACGACTCCACCACTCTCGGCTCAACAGGCGCCTGGACGGTCCATCCTCGCTCACTATCGTCGACCCCAAGCTTCTCGAAGTTTAGGCTGAGATCGAATGTCTTCTTTTCTTGCAATATGGACTCTATTGTGATCGTACTACCAGAAGCTGAGCCCGTGTCAGAAGGTAGGTCAGCTTCTTGCATGAAGCTGTTCAAAGTCTGGCTTAACGTTAGTACCTTCCTATAGTCGAGGAAGGGATGACGTAACCTGAGTGTACCCATTTGCTCTCAGGTACCGCGCAACGAGTTCGGCTGCAGATGGAAGCATATTTCTAACCGTCTCTCCTCTCGGTCGCTTTGTTACAACTGATGGCGGCTGATGGCAAGGCTGATTTGTCGCACATAGATGTTGAGGGGTGTTGGTGGAGGAAGTGGCGATGGCCGAGCTAGCCCCGTCTTATCGATAGCGCGACCGCTAACCATCCAGCCCCCCACACGATCTTGCAGAAGTTTCAGTAAATCACAAAGCATAGTAATCATACATCAATAAATCTACTTCTGCAATGGAGGCAAGTGCTATTGTGTGTGTTTTGATGATCAATCTAACATTAGTAGGAGAGGAACTCGGTTCGCGAAAAACTAACGGAAGACTTGGTGGCGCTCCAGGACACTACAGTCGAAGAACCGTACAGCATAGTATGCCGTCTCAGGCTTGCAAAAGCATACCGGACACTTGGATACCCAGACCTAGCCGTAGGAGATGCTTATAAGGCCTTGATTTTGGTAGATGAAGTAGTCGAAGAAGGCGAATACCATGAAGAGGCTTTGCAGGCAGCTTGGACGGATGTCGTCTCTGAGCGCATGGCAGACCTGGACCTAGACGATGAGACGAAAACTGCCCCGTTCAAGAAGGATGATGTGTTGGCATGGGCGCAAGCACGATGGTCTAAGAGCGCGTATGTAAGAAGTTGTGGGGTGAGAGCACCTTTTGATTGGGATGCTAACTGATCCAGTCACGATATACTGATTGGATGCTTGTTGGATTGTGGGTGTCTCCGCAGTGCATCTGAGTATATCTTTCGCGCGAGAAAGGCTTTTCCGAAAGAACTGATATTCGAAGATCACGAGAAGACTTTGTGGAAACACTTACGGTCTCACTTTGAACGTGAAGGAGAGTCTGCTGAGGATGTGGATGTAGAAGAGTATCCGGACAAAGGTTTCGTTCGTCGCGAACGATACCCTTGGAACCACCATGAGCCAGACCGCTTCTCGAAGGAGTGCCTCGACTTTCTCAACGAGGAGCTCGCGGATATTGCACCGAGGCTAGAGGTTAGGGCGTCTGAACTGCCTATACTCAACACCACCCTGATCTCCAATGGAACAACACCGGAGAACCGATATACCAAGCAGCTGGGCTTATTTGCAAAGGACGACATAACCCCTGGCTCGACTGTTCTAGAGGAGAAGTCGTTACTTACCGCCATATCAAGACTTCATGAGTCGTATTGCGATGCTTGTGTTATACCACTTTCGAACGGAGATGATACAGTAATGTCCTGTGAAGAGTGTGACGAGGTATTTTTCTGTAGCGAGGAGTGTCACGACCTAGCACAGGACCACTATCATCCTGCACTTTGTGGTGTTAGTGTAGATCAGGGAAAGGTACCTGCACGTGAAGCAGCAGACTACCTCTATTTCCTTCTACTTGTTCGCGCACTAGCATTATCAGAAACCCAAGACGTTCATCCTCTGGAGCTGAAGGAAGTGCGATATATCTGGGGCGACTACCATGGTCAAGACCTAGATGTTGCATGGCAAGCGGCTTCTTCAGGTGGCTCAAGCGACGCATTCACGGGACTACCGCAAACACTACCTTTTTCATTTAAGAGTAACGTACTCATGCCATTGCATGTTCTAGAGAAGATGGACATCAACATCTTCACGCAAAGTCAGCGCTACGATACCTGGATCTTCAACACGCTGTATGCGAAATTCCGCGGAACAGCATCAGCACGACAGGGTCTTGATGGAAGGCCTGAGATTAGCGCGGTCCATCCGATGTGGTGCCTCGCGAATCACAGCTGCGATCCAAACGTGGCTTGGGAGTGGCGTGGCTCAATGCGGTTCTGGACCCGTGAGGAGTTGGTTGACTGGAAGGGAAGAGACCCGAGCATAGGGCCTGGTCTCAAGAAGGATGAAGAGGTGTTTGGCCACTACTGCGACGTACGTCTGTCAGTCAAGGACAGGCGAGAGTGGGCCTCAGGAGCACTTGGTGGAGATTGTATGTGTGCTAGATGCGTCTGGGAAGAGGCGGAGGAACGGAAGCAAGGTGCTTTGCAGTAAGGCTCTTGCCGTCGCCCGCAGTATCGGGTCTATTTTGAGGGAGAAGCGGTCAAGGTGTAGAGTTGGCTGCGTCATATTACCGAATACTAGTAGACGAACACGGGGTCGATGCACAAGCGAGGTGCAGGACGTGGGGATCTGGTGCGACACGAGTATACAGAAGTGGCTTCGACTGGAGATATCGGCAATCGCGCCATATCAAAACCATCTCCCGACCAATCCTGATAGCCGTGGGGGCGGCATATCACAACGGCAAAGATCAGACCATAATCCAACGGAGCGGGAACATCCGATCTTCGTCACGATGCAGATCGAGGGTCCTGCACCTCGTGGGAAGCTGCATATGCCGTTTTCAAGTAACCTCAATTGGCATGTATTTGTCTCACCTTCAATCCCAGTCATCTCCACTAACGGCAAGACAGCCCACGCCGACAGGCGTCACAAGCAGGCGAACTTTTCGTGTAGCGTCATTCCATCATCCTTTTGGTCCCCACTCGGCTGCGTGTATATGGACAGTATCCGATCGGTGTGCTGCCTGCACTTGCCTCACTTTTCCAGTGTCCTTCCAACCTCTAGCTTGTAGTCTTGCGCCCAAGACACCACCATCTTACGCGGTAATCAAGCCAAATCCCCCAAACTCCGACTCCAGACGTTCTACCAGGAATCGTTGCTTGGCAAGTGCCACGATGTGCGTGTGTCTGTCCAACGACCCGTGGCATCGAAATCTGGAAGGATAGCGCTACTGTGCCTTTCACACTGAGTCAAGCACATCTACTCGGAACTTGCTTTTGTGAAAAGATTCTCCGCAATCTACTAGCGTCATCGTCTTGCACTGACCCCTGACAAGCGAGTTTCATTGACTAAGTAGGCGGACAGAGCCGCATCACGTGCTTCCCGCTTTAGCCAAGGGGTTGTGGCTCTACATCTACAGCGCCAGAATTCCAAATACTTTGGGTCACCGGCTGAATGTATTGTTCGATCTCGCTTGGGCGACTGGGATCACGGATCCCTTTCGTCGGCACGCGATGGCTAGATTGCGGTTGTCTGCAGCCGTACCAATGTCCTCAGCTATCAGTGTCAGCGATAATAATAGAACTGGCTGTGACGACGAGCGTTGATGTCTGGCATTTCACCGCCTCGAACCTGATTTCAATATTGCTCTATTGGAGATCGCGACAGGTATTGCTCGAGTGGTTCTTTTAGTGTATTTATGTCGTCAAGTAGAATCCCCGAATAAAGACCATGCCAGCTCAGTCATAACACTTCCAAGATCACGTATAAATGGTCCGCTTGTGTTCATTCCGCTACAACCGATACAATTGCAGAGATCGCAAGAAGAGATCTGTAACATCTGCTCTAGATTGTGTAAGGGTCACTTTCGCCGCTGTGAAGAGACAGCCCAGCCTGCGTTCTGTGAAAATTTACTCGGAATCTCTACGCTTCAACAGGCAACATTCAATGCCGTCGTTTCCATCACTAAGACTGTGAACCACAAATATAATCCCTCTCCACAAGAGTGCTTGAATTTGTAAGACATAGCTGTGGATGACAATAAGCAACGACTCGTGTGAAAGCCAATACATGCTACCAGAACTAAAGTCAGCCTATAGTCGCGAGTCTAAGTAGTCACAACATTACGCTTGAATATCTCTGCTATCAAAAAAAAAGTCTATGTAAACACTGGCTAGCTTATGGCGAACTCTTGGAGGAGCTTCAGATCAACGTTCACGATTTTTTCTCAATAGCGATGACTATCCACCCAAGTCATGACCGCGTCACCAGGCGATAAAGCGTTAGCATGTTACAGGGTTCCATGCACATTCCCCAGAACCAGGATGCAATGAGAGCCACCAATGCCTATCTCCGCTTTCAATTACACCACAATTACCACACTACTCTCAACAAAAGCATGCAACTGATCATGCAGCTCAGAAGTTCCCTCCTTCTCCTTTTGGGAAAGTGTACTGGATTCTTTGTCTATGCCAGTGCTTTGTGCCGCACTTCACTCAAACAACGGCAGTCTGCGGATGACTCGCATCACGAAGTCCAGCTGGAATGAAATACGAGCGGGACCTACCAGGCAAAGTTTCATCATTAACGAGACGGCAATCGCTATCTCCACTGGATTTGGAGCAAGGAACTGGTGCTCACATCCGATGGTACGAGCCGTCTGCCTATACCCTAGCTGCATACTTCTAGTAGGCAATCACTGCCCCTGCAACCGCCCTTCATGCCTTCTTCCAAAACTAGCATCACACTCCACTTCTATTGCACCTTAGCTCGCTGATTACTGAACACTCAATCCTGCAGGAATTCAGCAAAATGAACTGTCGATCTCATGACCACCAAGAATCGCAAAATCAGGAGAGAATCGTCTCCAATGAGATTTGCACACCTACACCCACACCCACACATGCTTAGTGTCTGGTTTACTGTCGACCAGGGAATATACCTGAGAATGAGCCCTTGTATAACGGGTAACTTTTACCATTGCTACGTATAGATATGCCGAACTACCGATAGGTTTATATGTGGAAGTGCACGCTCTAATATTAGTTGCACAGCCAATCAATCGAAATATCAAACTCTATGGCATAAACAGGAATTCACCTGGAAAAAGCTAAGTACTCAACTAATGTTATGTCAACTTCTATTTCCAAACTATGCATGTCACCAGCCATTACAGCGGGAAAAACACACCCTTGCTCGTCATCACGAACACGACACTACGAGACGTTGATATCATTTCCTGTTCGAATAAATTTATGTTCGTGTGAGTAGAGACGCCTCGTCCCAATACACTACCAAAGGCTATCTATAAGGTATCATCACATACATAGTCTAAGTCCTCCTCGGGAATGATAACGTATACCACATCACCGTCCCCACATTTGTCCTTCGAGGATCAAATATTTACTCCAAGTCAACTGATGACCTACTCAGCCCCAGTGATCCACTCCCACCACCCACCATGCGGCAACCCCGTCTCAATTCCACATGCCCTACAAACCGCCACAGCAACAGCGCCCAGCACACTGATACCTCCTAGAACCTTAACGAGCACGAAACTCTGTCTCCTGAGCTCATCACCAAAGTTACACAGGCCAAGCGGATCCCGCGAGTCCAGTCCAACAGCTTTTGCATACCGATGACTGACTTTACTACTTTTCTTTTCATCGCCGTGGCGGACGACTGCCCACTCAGCTCTGGGTGGACCGCCCGGTGATGCGACGATTGTACCCTTGGATACCTCTTCGCCGACACGTTCAAGTAGCCATCTCGCCCTATCATTGTTTTGTAGTTCCTCGAACCGTTCCCTTTCGTTGCGGCGACTGCGCTGGAGGTCTGTTGCCCATCTTGCTATCCTTATCTCACTAAGGCCTTGTTCCCCTTGTCTGGCATTGTTGTATCTCGCGAGAGAGAAGTTGCCTGGGGGCTCGAGGGTGTCGGAGTTTGCGAGCGAGGGTGAGGATGCGAGGAGTGGGGATTGGAGGTTCGAAGGGTAGAACGGAGACCCAGAGCCTGGTACCAAGACACCAGATGGTGACGTGGCAGAGAAGACTGAAGATGCTACGGATGCTGACGGACATGTTAGCTTGCGTGACGCCAAGAGAGATGATGCTTTACAATTCATGTTGCCCCCATTTAGTCCCACTGAAGCTGTTGTTGGACTGCGTGGTTGAGCCAGACCTTGCATCATCATGGAATCTCCTGGTAGCTTCGTCCTACGTCGCCATGCTAGGAACTTCTTCGCTGCTGAATGCCGAAGCCAGGCAATAGATTCCGGGTCGAAGACTTGGGTTACTAACGCAGCCAGTTCGGAAGGCAGAAGGGGCTGCACGTAGTCAGGCGACATTAGCAACGATGCGTCCATGTTGTCATTGTCTGGGCCAGATGTCGAAGAGACTGCGTAAGGATATGTCGGTGTAGTGAAGGGATATTCGGCTGCTTCGCTTGGTTCTCCGGATGACGAGGTCCTGGCAACCGGAAGGCCTTGCACGGCAAGTAATGCGTCGTCCATGGCCTTTCCGAAGAAAAATGGTCTGACAGCAGTGGTCTGCAGGCGGGCGAGGATAGAAGTCTTCAAAGCCACTACTTCCTGTGCCGAAAGAGTGTCTGATTTTGCGATGACAGGCACAACGTTGGTAAAGTACGATAATCGTTGCATGTACTCAATGTCTTTCGCTATGTCTGTATCTATATGGAAGTCAGTAATAAGCACGGTACTAGCGAAAATTGAGCTTACGCGGTGGTAACAAATATATCACGAGGTCAACTAAGACACCCCCACTACCACTGACGACTCCAAGCACATCATTGTCTTCTAAGGTTGTTACGGATGATGTTTGATATAGCATTGACTCAACATAGTCTACCACCATGCCAATGTCTTTGTCCGCTGAACCCTGCGAATAGCCGGGTGTGTCTACGAAACAGATGTTTCTTTCGAGTACGGTGTCAATACTGCTCTTTCTTCTTCGCAGTACGCCACTATCTTCGGCATCAGTCCACCAGTGGGGATAAGGCTTCGTGCTTGCATGGATTTCAGTCACTCGTGTTGTGACTGCGTGCTCTGCTTTCTTTGTACGAGACTTAGATTTCTGGGGGCGTGGCTGCGCATACGATTGGGAGGGTGATAGCGGATCTACGTGCACGATGTCTTCGCAGACCTGGACAATGGATCGAACGAGAGAGGACTTGCCGACACCTATATCGTGCTGTCAGTTTAGCCTCTGTGCGAAGTAATTGGCGCGCATCGCGTCGACCACGCACCTGTTTCACCCGCCACCATAACTCTGAGCTTCCCCATAGCTTTTCCCTTTGTTGTGAAAGGTCTTCTGGTAGGCATCTGCATCTCAGGCATGACGAGCTGTGGAAAGCTCATAGTATCCTGTTGCGTCTCCATCTGCTCTTCCTCCTCTCCACTTGAGACAACGGCCTGGCTCACGGCATCATCCATAGTAGATTCCTCGTCGGACAGCTTGAGGGAAACAATAGAA